TTCACAAAACAAAGCTCTACCATTGCTAGGAAATACAAGAATTCTTTTTGAACAGACATTCCTGTAACAATTGGTATGAATTAACCACTTTTTTGTTGAAACCTCCTGGCCAGCGTTACTTTGGCAGAGTGACAGAGGGAAATAGCTACACAGAGGAATTCGGGCAGAATGGATTCGGTCGCAGCATTGCCAGAAAGCGAGAGCTTTAGTCAAGGGCACTCAGATTAAGACTTAGAAACCAGGAGTCAACTGTGCTGTTAGCACAGGAAAATGACAGTCCAAATGTCTCACAGTAAACTACGAAAACACTTTAGAATGATTATGAAAAGATATTGCATCCCATGTTTGTTGCAGCACCATTCACATTAGCAAAGATACGGAATCAACTGAAGTGTCCATCAATGGATGAATGGATAAAGAAAATGTGTATAAATACACAGTGGAATACTATTTGGCCATTAAAAAGAACGAAATCATATCATTTGCAGCAACATGGAAGAACTGGAGATGATTATGTTAAAAAATAAACCAGCACAGAAAGACAAGTATCACATTTTCTCACTCATACATGGGAGCTAATAAATTGATGTCATGCAGATAGAGAGTAGAATGATAGCTACAGAGGCTGGGAGGTGTGTACGTGGGAGGGGATGAAGAGAGGTTGTCAATGAGTACAAACAATGTGTTAGATAAAGGAATAAGTTCTAATGCTCCATATCAGAGTAGGTGGCTACATTAGCAATGAGGTATGCATATTTCAAAATAGCTAAAGAGAGCGTGAAATGTCCAACTATAGAATGACAAATACTCAAGGTGACGGAGTCTTATGAAGTAAAAATATCACATGTACCATAAATATGTCTGAATATTATGTATCAATAAAAATAGGATTTGTAAAAAGAAATATATCATGGGATGTAGACATTATCATTATTGATATCATAATAATACGTTCACAGTACATTTTCTCTTATTTTTGCAAACAATTAAAAATTAGTCACCACCTGTCAATCTCATGTGAAAAATTTGCCAATTCATAGTAATGCCATGTGTAGTTTGATTGTATGAAGTAGATACATTGCTTATTTTTATTTTCAAGAACATATGTATTTATTTATGACCTTAACAAATTAAAAACAATCATGTAAGAGTGTTATAGCAACCCAGCATATTTCAAAGGCCTTTTGTAAAATCAAAGGAAAAGAAAAAAAATAGCCAAAGTCATGTTGGCTATTCATTTTTTTCCATCTTTGACATTTTGAAAGCTGGACTTTCTAAGCAAAGAACAACTAAAAACTCCCAGGGCTGCAGTACACGAAAACTCCTTACATCCACCCTCATCTTGCTGTGTAGTAAAAGCTTAGTTCCTCATACAAATTCCTGTTAGGAAATTCTCAAAATAAACTACCATCTTTAAATCTAACAGTGGGTAAAGGAAGGATAAATGTTGGCGTGCAGCAGGTGGACCGTTATACGTAGCGGGGGGTGTCACATGGGCTATTTTAAAGGCGTAAGGGTGCTTCTCATAAGTGACAAAAAAAAATAGGAGAATCTGTTACAGAAAAATGAGAAACTTCTAACCAAAAATTGGATGACTGAATGCCAACTGTCAACCTTTCTAATCAATTCTGTTGCCACTGGGGACAATTGGTGGAGCTGGGAAATATCCTTCTGCTACAACCAACTTGGCCACTCTCCGGAGGGTTTCAGAAACAGTGCAGCCTCAAGTTTCTGCTCAAAAGGTGGATGCGAGCACAGATTCCAAGCAGGTAGGGGAGGTGTGTAGAGTGATTCAGCATTTGCTAGAAACTGAGTCTATCTTAATGATTCCTTCATTCTGCATTCAGTACGGTATCTAAATGCCTATGTCAGCTGACATTCTTCTCAATGTGTATATTTGGTCAGTCCTGACTCAACTGAGTGTACATATATTTTTTCTGTGTCCTCTCTCTTAATAAATAAGATATCAAATTTTCAAATGGAGAAAAATCTGATAAAGGAAATCTAGGAAGGTGATAAGCCATCTGCTTAGTTTATGCAACAGGAACCTGATCTTGATTGAAATCTCACCTGTCGGGACACTTTGTTTCACGAAGGGCTTTTGGCTTCCATTCCAGTGCAGTAGTTGAAAATGGTCATCAGCTCCTGCAAAACCCAAACACCTGTCATTGGTCTAGAAGCAGAAATGTACTCGGGAAAGCTGAGCAGGGCATAACTCTGATGTCCAAATGTATCAGGGAAACAGAAACACAACATTGTCAGAACACTTTGGGGCTTTTCAAAGACCAGAGTTTGAGGCTTCCAGAACATCTTCCTTCCCTCCCCTCCTATATCTATACTTACATAATAACATGACTAAATAATAACAAACATCTTTCAACATTAAAATAAATACTCTAACAATTCTACACCCAAGAAGTTACTGAATATACTAGTACATATGAGAGATAAATATAGGCAAAGTTATAGACTGATAGTTTTTTGAAATTGCCTGAGACTAGAACATCTCAAATGTTCATTTTTTAGAGGAATGGTTAAATAAAGCAGGATATTCCATGCTACTGAATACTTTGCAGTCATAAAGAAAGGAGAGACACTAAGTTCTAATATAAAGAATTCTATGATGTGTTGTTAAAATAAAATAAAAGCAAGGTGTACACACAGCAGTGTGTACTATGTGCTACTATTTGATTTGAAAAAAAAAGATCCCTATATACATATTTCTTGTAAGTGCCTAGGAAAGTTCTGATAAAATAAAATGATCTGGTAACATTAGTTATCTCTGGGGAGGGAAAAAAAATGCCTGGGGACAGAGTAGGAGAAAGGCCTTCCTTCGACATTCTTTCACTAAGCTTCCTGAGTTTTGAATCATATGACTATGTTATATATTTTAAAAATTAATGTTAAAAATTGAAGTGAAAGAAGACTAAAAACAAAACAAACAAAACAAACAAAATAAAATAAAATAAATTAAGTAAAAAATATATATAATATTATTAATAACATTTATAGAAGGCCTTTGTTTGGCCTGAGCAAACTGCACTAGGCTGAGCTCCTGCACTAGGCCTACAAACCAATCAAAATGGAGTTACTCACGCTAAGGTTCCACAGCCCAACTCCAAACTAAGCAGTTCACCTGACCTTCCAGAAACCAGGTGAGACAGATAATAGCCAAATCCCCACACAAAGGCAGCTTTTTTGAATGAGCAGTAGGACGTCTGTCTAAATGTTAAGTTTTCATATCTATTTTCAAGACCAGGAATCCCTTAATTGTCTCAAGTTATTTTTCAGTAAGTATGTGGTTGTGGTGTATGACATTAATCCAAAATAGATGTCTCTCTGACAAAAAGAAAAAAAATCTGTAAATGAAATTTAGATAACTTTGGTGGAAAACTGCTAGTTGTAACCACATTAGGAAAAGAAAAATCTTCAGTATGTTTATACACCTTAGTTCGCCCTTGATAGCCGGCCAAGGAAGGAAAGGGCAGGCTCCCTGCTGTGCTCAGCCCGGGCCATGGAGGTGGGAACTCTGGGTGGGCTTTCCTGTCAATATAACATTATTATCCGTATTGTAAAGCATTTTTCTTGACTGAATTGATACGTTTAGGAGCATTTTTATGGTTTCTGTAGTTTGTCCATTACATGTTTTATATTGTCAAAAGACAAAATTACAACAAATTTAGTTTAAATATCTAGCTGGCTTTTATTTGGAATTCTAAAATTGGGTAACACCTCATTCTATAAAACAGAATGAGCGTTCCAGTGAGCTGAGCAGAGCAAGTTGGTTTTATGGGCAGAAAGGGCTAAGGAAAGTAGAAACAGAGAACAAAAGATGGATTGGTTATTTCAAAGTTACTTGCCTTGGAAAGGTTAAAACAAGAGGGACTTCCTTATCAGGCCAGTAAAACTGACTTATGTGGGGATTTGGCTATTATCTGTCTCACCTGGTTTCTGGGAAGGTCAGGTGAACTGCTTAGTTTGGACTTGGGGCTGTGGAACCTTAGCGTGAGTAACTCCATTTTGATTTGGTTTGTTAGGCCTAGTGCAGGAGCTCAGCCTAGTGCAGTTTGGCTCAGGCCAAACCAAAGGCCTTCTATAAATGTTATTTAATAATATTTATATATATTTTTTGACTTAAATTTTTATTTTTATTTTATTTTCGTTTTGTTTTGTTATGGTTTTGGTTTTTTTAGTCTTTCTTTTTTCACTTCAATTTTTAACATTTAAATTTTTAAAATATATAACATAGTCATATGATTCAAAACTCAGGAAGCTTAGTGAAAGAATGTCGAAGGAAGGCCTTTCTCCTACTCTTGTCCCCCAGGCATTTTTTTTCCCTCCCCAGAGATAACTAATGTTACCAGATCATTTTATTTTATCAGAACTTTCCTAGGCACTTACAAGAAAATATGTATATAGGGATCTTTTTTTTTTCAAATCAAATAGTAGCACATAGTACACACTGCTGTGTGTACACCTTGCTTTTATTTTATTTTTAACAACACATCATAGAATTCTTTATATTAGAACTTAGTGTTCTCATCCTTTCTTTATGACTGCAAAGTATTCAGTAGCATGGATATATCCTGCTTTATTTAACCATTCCTCTAAAAAAATGAACATTTGAGATGTTCTTAGTCTCAGGCAATTTCAAAAAACTATACAGTCTATAACTTTGCCTATACATTATCTCTCATATGTACTAGTATATTTCAGTAACTACTTGGGTGTAGAATTGTTAGAGTATATTAGTTTTAATGTTGAAAGATGTTTGTTACTTATTTAGTCATGTTATTATGTAAGTATAGATATAGGAGGGGAGGGAAGGAAGATGTTCTAGAAGCCTGCAAACTCTGGTCTTTGAAAAGCCCCAAAGTGTTCTGACAATGTTGTGTATTCTGTTTCCCTGATACATTTGGACATCAGAGTTATGCCCTGCTCAGCTCTTCCCGATGTGCATTTCTGCTTTGAGACCAATGACAGGTGTTTGGGTTTTGCAGGAGCTGATGACCATTTTCCAACTACTGCACTGGAATGGAAGCCTAAAAGCCCTTCGTGAAACAAAGTGTTCCCGACAGGTGAGATTTTCTAATCAAGATCAGGTTCCTGTTGCATGAACTAAGCAGATGGCTTATCACCTTCCTAGATTTCCTTTATTCAGATTTTTCTCCATTTGAAAATTTGATATCTTATTTATTAAGAGCAGAGGACACAAGAAAAAATATATGTAACACTCCAGTTGAGTCAGGGACTGACCAAATATACACATTGAGAAGAATGTCAGCTGGACATAGGGCCGATTTAGATACCGGTACTGAATGCAGAATGAAGGAATCATTAAGATAGACTCAGTTTCTAGGGCAAATGCTGAATCAACTCTACACACCTCCCCTACCTGCTTGGAATCTGTGCTCGCATCCACCTTTTGAGGCAGAAACTTGAGGCTGCACTGTTTCTGAAACCTCCCCGGAGAGTGGCCAAGTTGGTTGTAGCAGAAGGATATTTCCCAGCTCCACCAATTGTCCCCAGTGGACAACAGAATTGATTAGAAAGGTTGACAAGTTGGCATTCAGTCATTCCAATTTTTTGGTTTAGAAGTTTCTTCATTTTTCTGTAACAGATTCTCCCTATTTTTTTTTTGTCACTTATGAGAAGCACCCTTATGCCCCTTTAAAATAGCCCATGTGACACCCCCCGCTACGTATAACGGTTCCACCTGCTGCACGCCAACATTTATCCTTCCTTTACCCACTGTTAGAATTTGAAAGATGGTAGTTTATTTTTGAGAATTTCCTAACAGGAATTTGTATGAGGAACTAAGCTTTTACTACACAGCAAGATGAGGGTGGATGTAAGGAGTTTTTCGTGTACTGCAGCCCTGGGAGTTTTTAGTTGTTCTTTGCTTAGAAAGTCCAGCTTCCAAAATGTCAAAGATGGAAAAAAATGAATAGCCAACAATGACTTTGGCTATTTTTTTTTCTTTTCCTTTGATTTTACAAAAGGCCTTTGAAATATGCTGGGTTGGCTATAAACACTCTTCCATGATTGTTTTTAATTTGTTAAGGTCATAAATAAATACCATATGTTCTTGAAAATAAAAATAAGCAATGTATCTACTTCATACAATCAAACCTACACATGGCATTACTATGAATTGGCAAATTTTTCACATGAGAATTGACAGGTGGTGACTAATTTTTAATTGTTTGCAAAAATAAGAGAAAATGTACTGTGAACGTATTATTATGATATCAATAATGATAATGTCTACATCCCATGATATATTTCTTTTTTTTACAAACTCCTATTTTTTATTGATACATAATATTCAGACATATTTATGGGTACATGTGATATTTTGTTACTTGCATAAGACTCCATCACCTTGAGTATTTGTCATTTCTATATGTTGGGAATGTTTCACGACCTCTCTTGTAGCTATTTTGAAATATGCAATATCTCATTGCTAATCGTAGCCACCCTACTCTGATATGGAACATTAGAACTTATTCCTTCTAACTAACTACATGTTTGTACTCATTGACCAACCTCTCTTCATCCCCCTCCCACGTACACACCCTCCCCAGCCTCTGGTAGCTATCATTCTACTCTCTATCTGCATGACATCAATTTATTTAGCTCCCATGTATGAGTGAGAACATGTGATACTTGTCTTTCTGTGCCTGGTTTATTTTACTTAACATAATCATCTCCAGTTCCATCCATGTTGCTGCAAATGATATGATTTCGTTCTTTTTAATGGCCAAATAGTATTCCACTGTGTATTTATACCACATTTTCTTTATCCATTCATCCATTGATGGACACTTCAGTTGATTCCATATCTTTGCTAATGTGAATGGTGCTGCAACAAACATGGGGATGCAAATATCTTTTCATAATACATTTCTAAAGTGTTTTCTGTAGTTACTGTGAGACATTTGGACTGTCATTTTCCTGTGCTAACAGCACAGTTGACTCGCCTGGTTTCTAAGTCTTAATCTGAGGTGCCCTTGACTAAAAGCTCTCTGCTTTCTGGCAATGCGTGCGACCGAATCCCATTCTGCCCGAATTCCTCTGTGTAGCTATTTCCCTCTGTCTATCTTGCCAAAGGTAACGCTGGGCAGGAGGGTTCAACAAAAAAGTGAGGTTATATTCATACCAATTGTTACAGGAATGTCTGTTCAAAGAAATTCTTGTATTTTCTAGCAATGGTAGAGCTTTGTTTTGTGAACATTATTGAGTCATTCCTGGTGGTGTGTTTTGACTCTATCTGGAGTGACTTGTTTTGCTGGACCAGTTTAGCCCTTCATTTCCTTTTAAGAAGTATTCCAATGGGTTTGGTTTCGGGTTTTGAACATCAGAGAGGTTGGGTTGTCAATAGAACCCCGGTAGATATGGGGGCAGGGGAGGCCATGTGTGAGGGCCCAGTGTTGCTCTCTACTGACACTCTGGACTTTATCTCTTGGCTCCCAGGAAGTCATCTCCTACTATTCCCAGTATTCCCTAGATGAGAAGATGCGCAGCCACATGGCCCTGGACTGGATCATGAAGGAGCGGGAGACACCAGGAATTCTCTCTCAAGAGCTGCGAATGGCCCTGAGGCAGTTGGAGGAAGCCAGGAAAGCAGGACAAGAACTCCGGTTTTACAAAGAAAAGAAAGAAATCCTGAGCTTAGCCCTGACTCAGATCTACAGTGACCCTGACACTTCCTCACCCAGTGACGATCAGCTGAGCCTCACCGCCCTGTGTGGCTACCACTAGCAAGACCAGGTCCCGGGTACCCCCAGCAATGGCAGAAGTGGACATTAGGGAGCGCAGTGAAGGAGGTCCTCAGAGGCTTTAGCCTCTGTAGCTACCACTGAAGCCTGTACTCCTCCTCCCTCCCCACTCGATTCACAGAATGTGAGCTCAGTAGGACTCTTACAAGCCCCCACAGCCCGCTCAATGCATTATTTCCATAACACTCTCGGTAGTTCCACCTAAGCATGAAAGGATAGAGACTGGATTGTTTGAAAAATATTTTCCAGGCCTGGCTCCAACCTAAGGCCTGGCTGACATGTGCCTTGCTAGATTATACATGTTGTTTCAAAGAACAGGCCCGATGTAGCATCCCCCCAAAGAACAGCAGCCAGAACTAGGGGAAGTAGCACGATAGCCATCTTTAAAAATACTTGAGATCGAATAAACAATATGGATGGTTTTTGAACGTATACAAGGGTCTGAGTCTCTTCCTAAGCTCTGTAAGCTAAGCAGTAGTTTACATTCAACTAGCTATACTCTAAGCCTATAGTGGGGATTTTATCTGGGCATTTCACTATCAAAGATTTTAAAGTGGTAATAATATGAAAATACTAGATAAACTTAATGTGGCTTAAAATGCCATTGTGGGCCGGGAGGGGTGGCTCACGCCTGTAATCCTAGCACTCTGGGAGGCCCAGGCAGGTGGATTGCTCAAGGTCAGGAGTTTGAAATCAGCCTGAGCAAGAGCGAGACCCCATCTCTACTAAAAATAAAAACAAATTAATTGGCCAACTAAAAATATATAGAAAAAATTAGCCAGGCATGGTGGCACATGCCTGTAGTCCCTCCCAGCTACTCAGGAGGCTGAGGCAGGAGGATCGCTTGAGCCCAGGAGTTTGAGGTTGCTGTGAGCTAGGCTGACACCACGGCACTCTAGCCTGGGCAACAGAGTGAGACTCTGTCTCAATAAATAAATAAATAATTAATTTTTTTTTTAAATGCCATTGTGATAATAATTTTTTAAAACCTATAGTGTTCCATATATGGGGATAAATGTCACCTAGAATAGTAGCCACACTCTTGTTCCTCAAAAACAATTAATATCCAATTTTTATGTCTTGCAATCAATCATGTTCATTTTTAATTTGTAAATAGATAACTTGAAGTAATTCATCTCTTTTTCAATACAGAGATGTGTCTATAATGGAAAAAATTAAGGGCATTTTATAGGTTAAAACATGTTGAAAAATTAACATGTGACAAAGAATGCTTGGATTTGATTCATTTAACAGGCATTAGAAAGAAGGAACCTTTAGCTCTCTTTGTTTTTGTTCAAGAATATAAGCAACCAGTAGCTGAAATGTAGTGTCGTTATTACATTTAAATCACTAGAATCTTCTTTAAAGGAGGGATAAGACATTGAAACCTTGTTTGACTCATCTCTATGGGTTAGTCCACTGATTAAAAAATCAAAAGCCAACACAAACTAATTTTTAGATAGTTTCTGGTAACTCAAATTTAAGAATGGCAGCAGTGTCGATTTTAAATGCTCACAGGTATTTCCATACCTTTAACATGAAAAGGATTATTTTGCATTTAGTTCAATAATTCAAATTAAAGAAAACATTTTTCTGAACTTAAATAGTTTCTTTTTCTTCTTTATGCAAATGCAATAACCTTTCCTGAAAGCTAAACCATTATAATTACATTAAAGTTTACAAAATAAGAGGTTTTAACCTTATATCTAAATATGTACAAAGATAATTGACACTCCTTAAATCCCCACAAAAACTACTATATTTTGGAATTAGCCTCAATAATAAAAAATCATTAAGTATATCACATTTCTCACACTAGGGGAAAATTCAGCTACATAATTGTCTACTTTAATATCTTGAAAAGGTAATAGTATGTAATATTAGATATATTTTAAAGATATTATCTTAACAAAAGTCACATTCCGCCCCATAATGAGGCTAAACATCACCTAGAAAAGAACTTTATTCCCTATATTCCTGAAAAGGAATTAGAATTAACTTTTTTACGTTGAGCAAATTTTAAAATTTAGGAAACGTTCTATTTAAAGCAATTTTTTTCACAAAGTCATTACTCTTTACATTATCATTTCAAAAAAAAAAGCCACAATTTCTTATGTTGGGTATGATTAAAGTTGGGTACACCTTCACTGCATTTGCAGCCTTTGACAATGACCACCTCAAACTGACACCTCTCAATTAGACTCCAGGACAGGAATAGGAGGGACAATATAACATTTACTTTTTGCCCTACAATTAAAAAACACACCTACCCTGTAAACTGAAAATAGAGGCTCTCTCTTGGCCACTATCATTTTTTTTTTTTTTTAACCAATCAAAACCACCCACTCTCCCTGGAACAGCACAGCAAAAGAAATCAAAGTCAGATCTTTGCTGGTCCCTTTGATACTCGTTTAATAGCAAATTGACTTCAGCGAGACACAAGGGTTATCAGTACATCACATAAACAACTGTAATTGTAGCCCAGAGAAGAGTAAAGCAGATTTTTTTTTCCTTTCTGTATTTTGTTCTCAATAACACACTATAGTAAAGGGGACTAGACTAGAGGATTCTCTATGTAAACACATGGAACCCTGCGTCCTAACCATTTTGGTTAACATCTGATAAAAGCTATGAACCATCTCCTAGGAAAATAGAATAAAACACACACATTCAAAATTGCATAGTTCCAGAGTATAGGGACCCCTCAAAGTTCATGGTTTACCCTAGGGGATCTTTGGATCCTTGTTTAGAACTCACACTTTTGAGCACATACATACAGTCTCAAACTTTACACCAGGGATCCAACGTAATTCAGACATAGCCCATGTAGCCTAAGAGAAAGGCCATCATCCTGAAATACAGACTTGCACTGTATTTAACAAGAGAGAGTTTAATTTTCACAAAATTAAACCATACCATATTATTATGACAAAAACGGTTTAGAGCAAACTAGTCACTAAACTTGGGTGAATGGATCAGAAATGACAGATTTAATAAAGTCATTGTACCTCTGACGTTCAGAATTTGGTTGTCCATTTGTTCAAGAGCGACAGTCCACTCATATTTTTACTATTAAATTTATTCACCTATTTCTAGAAAAGGAAAAGAATCAAACCATAGATATTCCTGAAATGCTGTACCTGTACCGACTATGAATCTGATTATAGGTCTCAGAAAAAAAGAGGTCTCAGAAAAAAGAGACTCAAAAGCATAAAAGTTTAACACTTTTCTGATTCTCTAGAGAACGCTTTTAAGCCAGAAGTGTTGTTGTAGTTGACTTTAGCTGAGATGCTTTAGAGAATTCTGAGTTGTATCATGCCATGCCTTTCTTTTTAGCTAGAGGACAAAAGAAGCCAGGCTAAGAATATTTTTATTATCCGTGACTATGTCCACAGGCAAACACTAGTCAAGATATCATTTCTTACATATGGTCGATTCTTTGTTTGTTTTGCCTTGTAGAAATGCAGACATCAAGATTTCTTCCATAATGTCTATCATAAAGAGCTAACATTAAGATTTTTTTTAGCCAGGGCTACAGAAAAATGAAAATCCCTTTCCCTACCGCAGTGGTTTTCAACTTTGGCTAGACATTAGAACACCCAAGAAAGTTTTAAAAATCCTAGATATCCAGACTGTCCCCAGACCAATGAAATCAGACCAAATGGGGCCCAGGAATCAATATTTTTAAAAGTTCCCCATTTAGGATAACAAAGTTGAGAGAGAACCCCAGGAATTACTAGCTTAGAGGTCTATGGCCTAATCAGAAGGAGCTATTACTCCACTTAATCTTGGCCCCAAACTCAAACATGGAACTCTTCTGAGCTAGGTAGGAGCAAATCCTTAGACAAGAAGTCTTTCCTGGAACCCAAGACTCAAGCAGGGCAAGGACACACATGCACACATATGTGTACACACCCACCCTCATCTGGGCAGGAGAGGCAGATTCTGCTCCAAGGTCCAGGCTTTCTTTCTCAAATACGGTACATGAACTATCTTCCCCAGAATCATCTGGGGTACTTGCTTAAATATACAACTTTGGGGGCTGCACCTTAGACCTTGTAACCAAATTCCAGAAGAGGGTCTGGATATTTACCACTGTACCAGGTGTTTCTGATCACACTTCATTTTGAGAACTTCTGAGCTAAAGCCACCCAACACATCCTTCACTGGGCAGCAGAGCCCGGGCCTCCTGGGAGAGGGCACAGGAAGGAAGAAAAAAGAGAGGGGAAGGTTGCCTCTACCCCTCCACTCTCTCCACCCCTCCTAGAAGCTGGAGAGAAGGGGGAGGGGCCAAGAGATATGGTTGCATTTTTCTCCCAAAAGAGCACCACCCACTCTTTGATCATTGTGGCCTCAATGTCTGATATTTCTTTTAACCCCTTTACTAGAAATCATGAAAATATCTATTAGCTCATGGTTAAAGTCACTTCTTTAAATCTAACTAAACCCTGTTAACACCTTCCTCCTTGGAGCAGAGTTAGTGGAGGGAAAGGCAAACAGAAGCTTCTTTCTGAGAGCTGTTGATTCCTTAGTGATTATTGTTTCCCAGGTGAAATTCCTAAATTGCCATCCATTTATAGGCAGTTCCAACTTTGGCAGCAATTGTGTTCCACAAGTCTGTCTGCAAGTCAGACAGTCCAAGCCTGAGGATGCATGTCTCTATAGGAGCAAGGCCATAAATGGTGGTAAGCCTCCCAGAGCAGCCTATATAAGCCACAGGATCCCTAAATTATTGATCTTTGGCACCCCACACAGCTCTTGGTTGTGAGGGGAGGGTCTAGGGCACCATATTGAAACGCCCCATTGGGCATCCTCCTCGGTTCCGACTGGCTCTCCAGGCAGCCCCCAGAGAGTAGCTTGCCAGGGCTCCACCCACCACCATCGCCATTGCCTCTTCTGATCATGGTTTCTTCTACCTGCTGACCTGCTCGAAGAGATGGCTTTTTCCCCAGTCTTTCTTACAATGCTTTGAAAATTTCTATGAGTTGGTACCGCTGAAAACAGGAACATTTGGGACCTAAAAATGGCAGTCACTAAGCCCCTTTGCAGAGTTTGTTTCCACCAGGGTCCGTGGGGAAAGATATGGGCACAGGAGGCACAACTGGGCTGGACAGGTCAGCCACAGAGCCTGACCCGCTGACTCTCACCCCTAAGCTTTCCTGCTTCTCCAGCGTTCCCGTTTGGCTCCCTGGTGCGTTCATTACCCCATTCCGATCACAACTAGCTGCCCCATCAGCCCCATCAGTGATTCTGGCTCAAAATTACAAACTGGACCCATCAGTCTGTCCTCCTTAGGGATGTGAACTAAGGAGCATGGAAGGAACTGGCCAGTTGGAGTTGGGAGCTGCAATCAGCAGAATCCCTGCATGAGGGCTGTGGTCTGTGCAGGTGGAAGGAATGAGGAAGCAGGAGCCATGAGTCAGCAAAGGGAGCTGGCCAGTAGGAAGAGGAGAGGTTGGCTGGTGCAGAGAGCAGGTGCAGAGAGAGGCAGAGACACAGGAGAAGGTGAGAGCTTCAGGCCTATGAGGAGGTGATAAGAACCGCTGGCCCACGCACCCTGCAATACCATTTCCTCAGTTGCAAGGATCACACGCCTTGCAACCAAAGAAACATCACCTACTCATTTCAAGGCAAAGCCACAATAGATTATTCTGGACTCTTCATCCTAAGAAAGACCAAAAAAGCTGACATTAGGAGAACCCTTTTCAAATGATATCAATGCTATAGAGAAATCTAGATTTAGGACAGGTGACAGGGTTATCTTTCTCCCCACTCACTGTCCCCCACTCCAATAGGAGGTCTCAGAGTGGTCAGATGTCCTCCCAACTCTGAAATAAACTTACGTCTTACGTGCAAACCACACTGTCCTTGCTCCCCTACATAGAAATTCCTGTGCTCTCATGTTCTACCGGAGGGATGACTATAGAGAGAAGACAGAATTCTATTTTTACAAAGACAATTCATAACCTCAACTATTTCTTGTCTTCTTCAAAAATTAATCACCTTGAGGAATTAATAACATGTTCTTCCCATGCTTGAGTGCTGTTCTTGCCAAATACATCCCTGTCACTAACTCTTCCTTTAGAATAACCCTCTGGGTCCATGTTAGCAAAGAAAGAAAAGCAGTCTTTTTTTATAGTCTGAAAACACCTACAACTGACTAATTCATCTCAGCATCTCAACTGTTAGGCCTATTAGCAGGTGCTCAGTGAATGTTTCTCGAATAGAAATCTGTCATAAATGTCTTGGTGCTTTGCTTACTCTCTGCTTGAGGAGGGACCTGACCTGGCTCTGTTCTACTGGACTAGTCAGGACTCAGTTGGCTGCAAGATAGAAGCCCAAATCAAACCTGCTAGGCAAAGAGGGAGTTTATCGGCTCTTGACACAAAAGAATTCCAGGTAGTTTTTGCTCCAAGTATGTCTGGATCTAGAATCACAAACTGGAACTTGGTCTCTCTCATTACACAGATACATATATATGTGCACATACACGTGTGTCATTTCTCACGGCTCAAATCTGCCTTCTTTCATGTTGGCTCCATTTTGAGGCAGGCTCTCTCCTTTGTAGCAGCAAGTGGCAGCCAGCAGCTTCTTGCTTACATCAGAGCAAAATGAGAAATCCTCCTCCCAACAATTCAAATCCAACTTCCAGATCTGGGCGCCATCATGGTGTTTCAGTCATGTGTCCATCCCTGAATCAATGGCCGTGGCCAGGCCCACATCACGCATCTGTACCCATGGAACTGGAGTCAAGTCAGCTCCCCTAAACAACTTAGAGCTGGTGGAGGAGAAGGAGTTAGTTACCCAAGCGAAATATGGGTTCAGTTACCAAGGGAAAAATTGGCCATTTCACCAGACATTTTAAAAACTATTTCCTCCTTGAAAGCCTTCAGATACAGACTGAACAATAGAAGAAAATGGTGTTCTCCTACCAAAAGTTGGGGGAAAAGAGGTTTCTGGGTAGAAAACAACAGCAGATGTATACTATGAATACATTGTATCATTTCCAAAAATCAAATCCATCCTCAAAGGACAAACTTAGCCACCACTAAGGATGTTCAAAAGAACTTTCTCCCCAGAGGGGAAACCCCAAAATGCTTCCAGACCAATCCCACACTGGAACGAGCGTGCAGCTTCCCCGCAGACTCTCCTGAGCGGGACGGTGCTCATTTATATGTAAGAGTCCTGCTGTGTGGAAAACCCTAATCCCTCGCATTACTCTGAAGTCACACTTTAGTGCTGGTGAATTTTGTTACGCAAGTGGGTCAGGAAATTTCCTCCGGTCTATTTCCGGTGGGCCCTGGCTTTCATTATCAGCGGCTGCTAATACCTTAATAGAAAAGAAAACATATAGAAATAAGGCCAAAGTGAAAAAAAAAAAAAAAGAAAAAAAAACAGTTGATCCCAACAAGTGAAAACAGTTGCAGCAGAATTGGACAGTTCAATAGCCTGGATAGCTTATTTATCCCCACTTGCTACCGAGCGACTTGCAAACCTTAAGTTTGGCTCTTCTCTGACCCATGAGTCGTCACAAAACCATTTTGGAAACAACTTATTTTGAAGCGATCTGTTGTTTACCTCCCAGATAGTTCTATATTTCCATGTAGTGATTTGCTAGATGATGTCTGGGAAGTTCATAAGTTGTACTTGGTGCAAGCAGGTTTTCATACAGATATTTTAAAAACACACACAAGTGACCCAGTGAAATTCCAGATTGCCAGGTGAGTTGAAAAGTCAACTTGACACTAGTTTCAGTTAACTGAAACTAAAAGAATGGGAGCTATTTTATACTTTCAGTTAATCTTCTCTCAAATGATGTGGGAATTTTACTTGTTTATATATTGTGGCTATTTGAATTTTTTTTTTTTTAATTTTTTGGTCACAAGGCCACCAAAGCAAATACATTTTTAAAATGGGGGAGGGAGTTTTCAATTCTCTTAGAAGCCAAAATATAGTTGCTTTTATCTTAAGTGATGACTCACATAGATATATTTGTTAAAGACTGGGTTTAGTAAAATAGAGAATTAAATTGAGACAACTTTCCTTCATATTGCCTTTCATCTAGAGCATTCTTATTGGCAACACATTTTCTGTCCTTTTTCTTTTCTTCGCAGAGATCCAAGGACAGGATCTCCCGGCCCAGCTTACCAGTCGTCTGTGAAAAGCCAGGGGGGCTTGGCTCTCACGCCACTGAAAAGAGGCTGGCACAGGCTGCATCGTGCCACACGGGCAACCTCGTCCCAGGCATTGCAGGTGTCACACACATTGACAGTGGGATTCACGGGGTCTAAAATGAATGGCCTGAAAAACAAAATAAAAAACTAAAAAACTTTCCACTTCTAAAACCAGTTTCATATATATATGTATGTATGTACACATGCATTATGTGTGTGTGTGTATATACATACATATATGCTACACAGCTAGAAGAAGGGCACGTGAGAGTTTGAAGAAGGAACTCAGGTAAGGGACGGAATCTCTGCGGAAAAGGGAATGAAGCCCAGGAGGACTAATCACACCTGTCACAAAACAGAAACTCCGGTTCTGCTTCTCTAACTCTGACTCCTTCTCATTTTTCCTTTTAACCTGAGGAAACATTTCTTCCCTGGATTCAGTCTTCAATTTCCTTCTCATATTGTTGTCTACTTATATATTCTATTCATTTTATTCAAATTACTCTTTTTTTTTTTTTTTGAGACAGAGTCTCACTCTGTGGCCCAATGTGGGCGTCAGCCTCGCTCACAGCAACCTCAAACTCCTGGGCTCAAGCGATCCTCCTGCCTCAGCCTCCTGAGTAGCTGAGACTACAGGCATACACCACCATGCCCGGCTAATTTTTTTTCTATTTTTAGTTGTTTGGCTAATTTCTTTCTATTTTTAGTAGACAGGGGTCTCACTCTTGCTCACGCTGGTCTCGAACTCCTTGAGACCAAGCAATCCTCCCGCCTGGGCCTCCAGAGTGCTAGGATTACAGGCGTGAGCCACCGCACCCGGCCTTATTCAAATTACTCTTAACTCACATTGGAAAATTAAGCTCTGTGGAAACAATCAAAGGGAATTGACTTTGTGGTAATTAAGGCCTCCTCATTTACACTGACTGCCAACAAAGCTACTCTTTGTGCCAGCCTCTCTTTCTTGGTAGCAGAATTGCAAGTCTTATAGCCTAAGAACATAGAAAAGGTAAACAGTTACCTTGTGTGTTTCTGCTTAACCTTTACAAAAATGGGGAACTTGGAATGATAGTGTCTGTGCCAAACAATGTCGATTTCTGCATATCGAACCAAAAGTTTGAGGACCGCCCTCATCCCCTGCACCAGGCTGAAGAGCAGTGGCTTTCCCGCCAGTTCCCAGATGTAAATGCTGAGGAGCTCCACCGCGTAGGAGGAGGGAAGTCTTCGGAATCTAGACACACAGAATGAAGGGTTAGTGCCTGCTTCCATTAGCCCAGAGAAAAATTCAAGTTCAACAGGCGATTTTCAGAAGGGTGAATTCCAATTTTCAATCTCAGTATTTACCAAATCACAATAAGATCTTCGCCAATCAGATTGGTGAAAAATAGTTGTAATATCCAACACCGGTGAATCTGTGAGGGAAATGGACACTCCAGCACTCTATTGTTGAGACTGTAAATTAATACAGTCTTTTTTGGAGTCAGCTTTGTTAAAATTCAATATGTTCTGTCCCTTTGACCCAGCATTTTACACTTCTACAAATTCATCCTATAAAAATACTTCTACAAGTGCCCAAAGATATGTTTAAAAGATGTTTTTTGGCCGGGCGTGGTGGCTCACGCCTGTAATCCTAGCACTTTGGGAGGCCGAGGCGGGCGGATTGCTCAAGGTCAGGAGTTCAAAACCAGCCTGAGCGAGACCCCGTCTCTACCAAAAATAGAAATAAATTAATTGACCAACTAAAAATATATATACAAAAAAAAAAATTAGCCGGGCATGGTGGCGCATGCCTGTAGTCCCAGCTACTCAGGAGGCTGAGGCAGTAGGATCGCTTAGCCCCGGAGATTGAGGTTGCTGTGAGCCAGGCTGACGCCATGGCACTCACTCTAGCCTGGGCAACAAAGTGAGACTCTGTCTCAAAAAAAAAAAAAAAAAAAAAAAGATGTTTTTTATTTAAACTGTTCATATTAGGAAACTATGGAATGTTCCTCAATAGGGAAATGGTTAGTTTCATGATACATCTCTTCCTGTGCTGTCCAATATAGTAGCTATAGCCACTTGAAATGTATTTTGAAGACATACAGAAAAAATAATGGAATATCTCATTAATTTTTGTATTGATTGCATGTAGAAATAATAACATTCTGGATATACTGGGCTAAATATATTACTAAAATTAATTTCACCTTTTTAAACCTTTTTAATGTAACTATTAGAATATATAAAATTGTATATGTGACTCACATTTGAATTGTGCATTATATTTCTCTTAGCATTGATCTGTACTATGCAGTCTTTAATAGCAGTAAGGCAGATGTTTACATACAGATATAAAAAGATCCAATATAGATTAATTGAAAAACAATTTTCAAAACAATACGTAAAGTACAAATCCATATTTTTAGTTTTGTTTTTTTTTAAATTAAGCATATCAAAAAACGAATTTGTAGGAACATGCTCCAAACATTATTGAGGGGGTAAGGATTGGGAGTGAGGAAGAAAGCCTTTTCTACATTAAGTAGAAAAAAATGTTTTAGAGGGAAAGATTGAGATATAGTTATAGAAATTTATCTCACTAGAAATGATTCATTTCTAATAGTGATTAATTTCATAATCTTTCAGGGCTGTGCTTTTACTTGGGGGCTTTATTTTCTAGGTGAGGAGCCCTAATGGCTTGTGGAAGTGGCAGAATCATTCTGCCAGGATAAGGGGACAGAGTCAGTGACCCTTCCTCTCCAACCAGTCAGCAGTAATCAGGTATAACCAGGTGAACGGGAGAGGTAGTAACTAACTGGCTAAACCATGAGCTAGGATCTCTAGAACAGGAATGTTCGTGTATAAGTCAGAGCTGGAGGGAGACATCTAGAGTTTGGAGAGAGTGACTGAGAATAGGAAAGTGTGAAAAAGATACAGGTTTCTCACCAGCGCACCCACTGAAAAGTAGAACCAGTTGAAGGGAGTCCTGTGCTTTTCTTTTGAGATGAGGGTACACTGAATGGGTTCTGCGGTTTTCACATAAAAATTGAAATGACACTGAACGTGAATTGCAGTTTATGTACACTGGGGAAAAAAATTAAGTTAAAGTGAAGATTAAAAACAAACTCAAGGGTGAAAAAAAAACCCAACGTGACAGTTTCGGCTTTTCACGTTGGTTGATTTCCAAATACGTGTTTTACCAATTTGGCGTTCGTTAGCCATAGAAATCACTCTTGATGACATTGTAGGGGAGAAAAAGGTTTTCCTTGGCCCTCCTACGGTGCCTGGCTGGGTCTGAAAATCAAACTGACGAAGACTGATTAAAAGGAAGAAAGCATACAAATGTATTCAATATAAATTTTATATAACACAAAAGCTTTCATATGGAAATGAAGACCCAAAGAAATGAGTAAACATGTATTTTTATGCTTAGGTTTGATGCAGAGTGGATAGCTGTGGAGAAACATGAAGGAAGGACAAAGGGTACGATCTAATAAACTGGGGGAAACTTAGCAAGATTCTTCTTGGCATCTCTGTGTCTTCAGAGATAAGGATGCCCCTTTGCCCTGGGACTAGAGGGGGCGACTCCCACTTGAGGTGCTTCTGACCTGCTTCAGGGGAGAAGAATTGGAGAAGATCAGAGTGACCTTCTTATTTCTGTCATTTTCTCAAATTCCTTCAGCTGGAAATATTTAGGATACAGTGTTTTGGGGTAGTATGTTCTGAGCTCCACCAATATGTTGAAAAATCATGCAACTTTCCCTGATAGAATGTCAAAATTTTCTTGCTGTTAAGTCATTTGTTTTTACCTCAACAAGGGACACAGAAACAACTAAAGGTAGACAATATTTCTTGTCCTGGTGATAGACAGCAAACCAGATTTGAGTTGGTCAATAGCTCAGTCTTACGCTTTTACTTCAGGGATTGATAACAATAAACAAGTCTTAAAATCCAGTTCTACTAAGCCATGGTTGAAAATTCTTCAGGCTGGAAATTCTCTTCATGTTTTATGAAGATAAATTTGAGAGGAGAAAGGCTTAGTAAACATTAAACTATTTTACTTCACATTTAATAGTGTGATTACATATATATTTACACAACTCTGACTTGTGTTCCTATTACTTTGTGTTCTATTTTAATCATTTAACATTATTTCATGTACATTTTTGTACATATTATCCTGCTTCCCAAACTTGTCTTGAATATTATTACATCAGTGAATTTATTTGCTCTTCCGGGAAATTTTTGTTGTTCCCAGTTTTCATTATCTTTAATAGCACTATTCTGAACATACTTTTAAAAAATTACTTTTAAAAAATCTGATTTATTTTCTTCAAAGGCAATCCCTCTAGGTATTTCCAAACTCTCTTTTTTAATGTTAATTTTAAGTACTCTTTTTATGACATATTTTTATTTATTTTATTTTATTTTATTTAGAGGCAGAGTCTTGCTATGTTGTCCAGGCTGGAGTGCAATGGCTGTTCACGGGCAGGATCATAGCTTACTGCAGCCTCCAATGCCTGGCCTCAAGCAATCCTCCAACCTCAGCCTCCCAAGTAGTTAGGACTACAGGCACGTGCCACTGCACCCAGCTCTCTGACATATTCTTAATATAATGGCCTGAATTCTTTTTTTGAAACTAAATAAGTAAACATTTTCTAGAGCAAAATTAACTTGACAAATGGTTTGAATATTTTAAAATCCTTAACACATAATAAATACTTAGTATATATTACCAGATTATTCTCCCAAAATAGAAAACCAATTAGAGTGCTGTAACATATGTGGTCCAATTTCCTCACAATGCCACCTTTTTAAAGTCTTAGAATTATTGTTATTGCTACTCTAATAGGAAAGTTTCTTCTCAAAGACCTATAAATGCTCTCCGATACAAAAAAAAATTTTTAAAGTGTTAGATTTCAAAACCAGGCCTGTCATCTCACTGAGGATCTACTCAGGCAAGAAGCTTTTTCTTTGTTCTTCTGTTTTTGTATTTTCACTAGTAAATTTTTACTCAACCAAATGAGAAAAAATTGAGAGAATACTTAGAGATGCTTACAGATAGCAGGCAAATGTATAGAAGTAATGTATGTTTTTACAAAGTGACTAATGTTAACTAACGTCAATGTTAGGCACGAAAATACACAAAGAATAAACAGAGAGTATGTCATTCGGATTAACAAATACAGAATATTAGCAACTTTATACAAAGACAGAGATTGCATATTCCTTTAGAGAGTGGCTGTATATAAATTTAAAATAAATCCCCCATCTCTGCTATTTCTGGCAAATGGAGCATTCATACAAATATATTTGAGTTCTCTGTTTATCAAAAGTTTATCTTAAAATGCTCAAAGCAGTCACTATGTCTCCTTCGTATCCCTTCACCATACACTAGATTTTGTTGCAAGCAAAGAGAAGGAAAGATACTAAAACATGCGCAATTTTTGCAGATGCTCCTCTTCTGAAAGACAACTCTGCTTCTGGTAGAACAGGCTACCACAGAAGGCCAACTTGGAGCACAAACATTAAACATCCTATTCGAATAGTACTAGGAGTTTCTCTTGTTCTTTTCTATGCCTTCTTTCCTTGCACCGATCTATTTGATTATGCCGCCGAATAGTTTCTTTTCTGTTCTTTGGTTTCCACCGAACCATTATGCTGTGCTTTGAAATAATACAATACAGATGTTCCCTATTCTCTAACAGCCCTGTGCTTGCTCTCTCTCCCTCTCTTTCTCTCTCTCTATCCTCTCCACCTACAGGGGTAGGGCCTGAAAGAATAAAGAGGGGGACATGAAAAGAGAAAGGCTCACATGGTGCCCATGTGCTGGTTACATACTTATTTTTCTCAGTAGGCTTGGCAAATGATGTCTTGAACCAATGTGTCATTAAACGAATGAGCTCCTTCACCCTCACAATAGACGCCTTGACAAAATCCACTTGGTACGGCAAGAGGGCCAAGGCACACAGCTGTGCCTCCTCAATGTCATTACAGAGGTATAGTTTGCGGTAAAGGTGAAGCTTTAAATCTGTTAACACCAAGGAACAAAGACAACTGTGAGAATTGCCTTCCCCCTCTCCTCTCTTGCTTTCCCCTGGTACAAATGAGCTCTGGCATTCTGACTAATTAAACTTTGAGCACGTAAAACAAAATAGTTTTCTGTATGCAAGAGAGTTATTCTAGTTTGCCCAAGTAATTAAAGAGAAAGCTTCAGCATTACAATGCCTCAGCAGTGTAAACTGAGTAAACCCTGGCACAAGAAAATCTGTGTGATGAGAAAGATTTTCTTCCTATAAGCAGAGGAAGTTTCTCAGACATAGATTTAATTACTTTATGCAAATATTAGCTAGCATGGAAGCTAAACGCTATGCTGTCTGTCCAATAATCTATATAATCCCTCCTATTTAATATCCAAATTGTTATGTGTGTGTATATGTATACATGCAAATATACATACGTGCGCACACACATAGTCATGTGTTGTATATCGACCTTTCAGTCAATGACAGACTCCATGTATTATGGTGCTACCATAAGACTGTAATGGAGCTGAATAATACTTACCACCTAGTGAAGTCTTAGCCATTGTAACATCATAGTACAATGCATTATTCGCATGTTTTTAGTGATGCTGTTGTAAACAAGCCTACTTTATAAACTTTATAAATTAAAAATGTTACAGGAAACTAAGGTTAATTTATTATTGAAGAAAGGAAAATATTTTAAACCAAATTTAGTACAGCCTAAGTGTACAGTGTTTATAAAGTCTACAGCAGTGTACAGTAATGTCCTCGGCCTTCACATTCACTCACCACTCACTCACTGACTCACCCAGAGAAACTTCCAATCCAGCAAGCTCCATTCATGGTAAGTACCCTGTACAGGTGTACCATTTTTTATCTTTTGTACTATATATTTTCTGTGCCTTTTCTATGTATAGATGTGTTTACATACACAAATACTGACCACTGTGTTACAATTGCCTATGGTATTTGGTACAGTAACATGCTGTACAGGTATGTTACCTAATACCATATAGTCTAGGTGTGTAGTAGTAGGTCAGTGGTCCCCAATCGTTTTGGCACCAGGGACCAGTTTCATGGAAGACAATTTTTCCACGTTCTGTGGGGGGTGGGTTTTGGAATAATTCAAGCACATGGCATTTATTGTGCAGTGAAACCTCTCTGCTAATGATAATCTGTGTTTGCAGCCACTCCCCAGCACTAGCATCACCGCCTCAGCTCCACCTCAGATCCTCAGGCATCAGATTCTCCTAAGGAGCATGCAGCCTAGATTCCTTGCATGCGCAGTTTACGGTAGAGTTTGCGCTCCCATGAGAATCCAGTGCTACTGCTGAGCTGACAGGAAGTGGAGCTTAGGTGGTGATGTGAGCAATGGGGAGCGGCTGTAAATACAGATGAAGCTTCGCTGGCTCACCTGCCACTCACCCCCTGCTGTGTGGCTCAGTTCCTAACAGGCCACAGACTGGCTGGTACTGGTCCATAGCTTGGGGGTTGGGCACCACAGTAGCAGGCTATATACCCTCTAGGTTTATTAAGTACACACCCTGTGATGTTCACACAACAATGCAATCTCAGACCATTTCCCCTTTGTTAAGCAATACATAACTGTGTGTGTGTGTGTGTGTGTGTGTGTGTGAGAATCTACCACCTGAACACTTGAATTAATTATGTTTATAAAGATGAAGATGATTTTAAAAGACATTTAGATATTTAGACAAATTGAAAACAAATAATCTACTTCAGTTAACCACAGATTAATGTGGTATGAAAGCTAGATTAAACAGCAAATATGATGGACTCATCTACAGCTTAAAACTGCAATCTCATAAAATATTAACCCAAGTTGTACTCTAATTAAATGATGTATAAGTGCTTGGAAACTTTTATGATAGTCTACTTAAATTTTCTCAATCCTACACAATTAGGGGTTCTAATGTGACTCTATTTTGCATACCCTTTGTACGTACCCGTCCTTCTGCCCAACTAAGTTGTGACACAATGACTCTACCATTTGTTAATTGTGGCAAATTTATATTCTAAAATATACATTTTAAAGTTCATTATCTAACCTGCACCCACATGTTTATCACTGCACAATTCACAATTGCAAGGATACAGGATCAACCTAAGTGCCCATCAACTGATGAGTGGATAAAGAAAAATGTGGTATATATGCACCATAAAGTACTACTCAGCCATAAGAAGGAATTAAATAATGTTTTTTTGCAGCAACTTAGAACTGGAGAATATTATCCTAAGTAAAGTATCTCAGGAATGGAAAAATAAATACCACATTGTCTCACTTGTAAGTGGGAGCTAAATGATGGGTATATATGGTCATAAAGTGGTGTAAATGACATTGAAAACTAAGAATGAAGGAGGGTGGCAAGGGGTGAGGTGTAAAAACCTACCTGTTGGGTACAATGTACACTATTCTGGTGATGGGCACACTAAAAGCCAGGACTTTAGCATGATATAATTCATCCATGTAACAAAAAACACTATACCCCCTAAACCCATTGGGAAAAAACCAAAACCTCTCAAGACACACACACACACACACACACACACACACACACAATTAAGTTAATTGTCTAGTTACTTTATTTTACTTGTAAATATATTCTGCCAAAAAAAAAATACATATATGCCTTTATCTTGATACCTAATTTTAAGGGTATCTGCACCGTCCTTTAATACAGTCCAGTTGTTTAGGGCCAAATCAGACATGTAATAGCAGGTCATTATCAATCAGTTAAAGAGTAAAATCAAATTCCTATGATAAGCATAAATGAACAAAAGGCAAAGATTCTTGTAAATGGTATAATAACAAACATTCCAACCCCAAAGTTACAAGGCAGCAGTCATTAGAACTATTAAAACAGACCTTTCAATTTTACTGCGAGGCTGTCTGCCTTTCTTATCAAACAAATTTGGACAGAAACTCAGGTTTATGATGATAAAAGATTGAAGAAATAATAATTTAACCTAAATTTTGGTTTGCGGTAGATAAGTCAGATATTTGCTGACTTTTATGATCCAACTGATAAGATGTCATGGCTGACTCAGAGATGATCTACTCAAAGCCACTGTACCAACATTTCCCCTCCGTCAAGGTTCTTCATTGTCAGGAACCAAAGTTGGTGGCTTCTAACCTCAATTATTTTTGAGGCTTATAATTTTCTGTTTCTACTTCATGTGACTTGCATTGTCTATTAAGCTCTGTTAGTCTTGTTATTATCATTTGCAAAATAAGAATATTGTATTTAGCTTCCTTACTATGCAACAAGTAGTATCCTGTGCTTTATATTTATTAGCACGTTTACTCTTCAACACCCCTGAGCTGTAGGAACTACTATTATCTCCAGTTTAATAAGTGAGGAAATAGACTTGGAGAGGTTAAGGAGCTTGCCCAAAGGCACACGGCTGGGAAGTTAAAACCCTCTACTGCCACCATATCGACCTGAGCACAAGTGCTTCTTCAGTGGTTAATTCAGTACTTTTAGACTTTAATGAACATACAAATCACCTGGGGATCTTGTGAAATGTGGTCTCTGATTCAGTCAATCTGGGTAAAAGAAAAGTATTTCCAATAAGTTCCCAAGTGACACAGATCCTGGTGGGCGGAGGATCCTATCTGGAAGAGGAATATTGTCAACCATGCCCTTGTCAAATCTCGTGGCTCTGGGCTGTATCCTGGCACGCGGGCCATGCTACTCATTGTCTAGCACATGTGTAAGATGTGGAGGGAATAACATTAAGATGCCTGTGAGGGTTTGATGTGATCATCTGAGTCATACTCTGACAATTATTATTAACATTTCATTGCCCATTAAAATTTCTTGGAACTCCAGGAGTTGTCTGAGTTACTGTCTCCTGTCAAATCCATTCACCATCATCAATGGAGAGAAGCAGAGTTACTTAATCACTTCAGTCTTTTTCAATTCATCTCACACATCTGTGCTCAAGAACTTAGGGGACTTAGCAGTTGGTGTAAAATATGCTTCCATTCCTCTGGGATAGGTTTTTAGCTCGAAAGCTACAGAAACAACCTCAGATCCTCAACACAATTACCCAGGAGCTGTTGTTGGCTAACAACTGGGCTTTTGAAGTGTGCACAGAAGAGAAAGAAAGCATGTTGCACAAACTCAAGATCTTCATGGGCCTAGGATAAAACCTAAAATATGTTTCCTTGATAAATATTTATTGAACTAAGCACTTTGCTACATAATTTCGAGTTAAATCCCATATTTCAATTCTCACAACTATCCTGTGAAGTAACTTTCTCATCCCTGTTTTATAGACGGAAAACCTGAGAGTTGAGAGTTTTACACGGCTTCCCCAGGGTCACATAGATAACATGAAATTGGTCTGCAGTTTGGCTCCAGGCCCAGTGTGTCCTCTCCACTGTGTAACTCTGGTCTTCTGTCAGCCTACACAGGAGGCAAGAGAAAGCCAGACTTACCTGGGTTTGCACCCCCAGACACTTACTAGCTATGTAACCTTAGGCCAGTTGTTTAAATTCCCTAAGGCTCACTCAGTTTTTCAATATTTAAAGCAGAAGAGGCATGTCTAGAAAAGATTAGGGAAGGGAGTCATATCTGAGCAGTCTTGAAAGGTGAACAAGAACTTCCAAGGCAGAAGGTGGGGTGGGGCAGGTTAAGAAAAGTGCATCAGGGGGGACGTCTATGCAAAGACATGGAGTTGGGAGAGAGCACAGAGCTTTAGGAAATCAGTATTTCAGGATTTCTGGCTCATGAACCTCTCCTCTACCAAATGTGAGCCCCACAAAAGCAAAAATCTTGATCTCCTAGCTCCAGGAGAGCTTAATCGCACATGATAGGTGTTTTGGAAATAATGGTTGAATGAAGTGAACAAATGAATAGATGAATAAAAATATTTAATAACTATTGCTAAGCTAGAGGAAGATTACTGGTCATATATTGGTTCACAAATTGTTAGACATTTTCAGTTCTGCCATTTTGCCACATAGAGAAAATACAAATGTATTAACTCAGGCAGAACCCAGTCTCAATCCCCAAGCTCCCTGGAGAATGCATTTATATCTACATAAATCACTTAGTCATTTGGGCCTCCGCTCTGGCTGCTATAACAAAATACCATAGACTGGGTGGTTTAAACAACATAAATTTATTTTCTCAAACTTTTGGAGGTGGAGAAATCTTAGAAGTTGCTGGCAGATCTGGTTTTGGGGGAGTTGGGGGAGAGCTCTCTTCTTGGCTTGCAAGTGTCGTCTTCTAGTTGTATCATCACTCGGTGAACAGAGGAAGCTCTCTTTCTCTTCTTTTTCTTATAAGGGCATTAATCCCATCATGGGGGTTCTACCCTCATGACCTCATATAAACCTAATTATCTCCCAAAGGCCCTAGCTCCTTACACCATCACACTGGGGGTTAGGACTCCAAGGTATGAATTCTGAAAGGACATAAACATTCTGTCCATAACAGAACCTTAATCTCCTGGTCTAAAATGAAGATACTTTATCTGCTTCTTTTTATGAATGTGATTAGATTTTATATTTTGTATCTTATGCCACAACATTTTAGGGATAAAAATAGCATCATAATGACCATAACGAAGTCATTGTCTGGCTCTGTCCTTATCACTTCCCACTACTAGGAGTTCTAATTCCCCCCAGGTTCTCCCCTACTTAAGATACCCCCAGGGCATATCCCACACATGTGTTCAGGCTAATTCTTTCTGTACCGTGTGGCATCTGCCATTATTCTCCTTGTGTTATTCTGTGCTGTATCTGATGACTTCCATCGCTGCTGATGCCAAAAGCTTCCATGGTCTCCCCCAAAGATGGCAATGCCACAAGTACCCACGGCTGCTCCTGCCAGTGCCAGGGAACTAAGGCCAGCAAAGAAAGAGGCCTGCTCTGTGGCACCTTCTCAATTCAGGGTGAGGGTTGGTCCCTTGCTACTCAGCCTCTGGGCACCTTTGGTGCTCAGGCAGTAACTCTAGAGCTGCTCTCTGATGCTCAAGCTGCAGAGCTGTGCTAACTTGAGCTCTGGCTACCTTAGTAGATGTCTGGGAAACAGTTTCTCTGATTTTTACTCAATATTTTTTAAAGTCTTTCTCCCAAAGTCGTGAGACAACAAGGGCTGACTAATAACCATCTCTTTCTTCAACAACGATCTGTTGACTTTGGACCAAAGCTCTGTACCTAACCTGCCTTTTCCACTAAAGAAGGCTCATTTACCCTCCTGAATCCCCCAGATGGTGACTGAATCTTGGTGCAAATTTATCTTAGGCTCAAGGTCTGATTCCTGCTCTAAGAGGAAGCTCCTCCAAGGCAATGTCTATACTTCTTTTGAGCCCTTTCTCTGCTCCATTATACTGGACAAATGGTTAATATTTAATAATAATACTTTTAAACTGAAAACTTGTGGTGTGAAGATATATAATGTTTATGCACTATAGGGGAAAAAAACAACCCCTAAAAGTACTAAGCATCTCAGTTCTACTACAAGCAGCCTGGTTATGTAAGCCCAGCTCAGCATATCGTGTCTGGACATGGTCAGTCCTCTATAAATGCGTAATAAATGAGCAGCCTTTTAAAGGCTTTCTTTGAAAGAAAACAAAATAAATCTTACCTTTGGAGGGTGAAGGCCCCAAGACATCATAATAGGCCATGATCTCAAAAGAATGACTGTGAAGACTTTCAATACACAAAAAATTGAATCTTAAAGACAATGATGTTCTCTTCTTCATTATGATCCTTAAAAAAAGTAACATGACATGGCATGAGAGATGATAGGAAGATAGAAAAGAAAACAGTAGGTGATTTCCTACCACCCACCCCCTTACCGTAGCCTTGCTTATCTCTTGGCTATTTCTTGAGTATTCCAGGAATGTTCCCTTCTTTCAACTTCTTCAGTTGCTGTTCCCTGTATCTAGGATACACCTATCCCAGGTAATTCACATGGCTTGATCTCTGGCTTCATGCAGGCCTCTGCTATACAGCGTGGGCTTTCCTGGTCTCTCTAGTCCCTTGCCAGATTTTGTGTTTCTTCATAGCTTTTTATCACCATTTGGCATTATGTTATTTGTTTATTCGCTCTCACACCACAGCATCAGGTCCACAAGGGCAGGAATTGTGTTTGTTTTGTTTACTGCCCTGTACCTAGTGCCTGATACATAGTAGGTGCTCAATAAATAATTTTAAAATGAATGATTATCTAAATATGAATTGGGCTACAAGATATTTTTAATCATGAATATGATTAAGTAAAATATTTTAAAAACTATTGTCAGACTTCCACTTCTGGGTATAACAGAGTTATTTACGGCAGATCTGTGCTCGCTGAGAACAACTAGACAACTGAATTTAGGAAATTATGTGTACATGTGTTTTAGAGACATTGGAGACCTGCTAAAGCTGGAGGGGCCAAGATTTGGGGCATGGGGGTGGGAGACAGTAGATCACGGAGAGGTGAACTTATATCCCACGGCTCTACCCCTAGGGATATATGCTGATTTAGAGAATAGACAAGAGACTGAAAATATGGACCTTGCTTGGGCAGAGGGATGCTTCTGGGGTTAAGGAAACCATCAGGACTTTGTTAAACTAATGGAGCTATACAGGCAATGTTAGAGACTAAGAGGCTACCACGATCCTGGTGAAAAAGGAAGGGTGGAGAACTGAACCTGAAATATGATCTGCTTTTCCCTCAAAACGTTTGCTAAATTCTGAAGATGCTTATGGTAGGCATGGTTAAGAAATGAAGCAGAATGTCTTGCAGAGGTGAGTGGAATTTTTGTTAGTCATGCCACGATGAGACAACATTAATGTTCAGTCTCAGGTGCTCAGGAGGTAAGGATTAGAAGAGAGTACTTGTTCAACGCACTAGGCTATAACAGCGGTTCCTAAACTTTGCCACATATCACTATCACCTGGGAATACCTTAAAAGTTCTGCTACCTAGCTCCCACCCCCAGATGTTTTTTAATTTAATTGATATGGGGTATGACCTGTGTGATTAGCTCTCACTCTATCCACCCTCTCTGGAAAAAACAAAATGGCTGAATCGCTGTGTGATTCTTTATACACAGTGTCCTGGTTTTAATTTTTAAAAATCACTAGAAATTGCAAGAGACAGAGTGGTTATAAGACATAAAACTAAGAGAAAAAACAAACTGTAGAAATAGACCCCAACAGCAACCCAAATATTGGTATAAGCAAGTAAGGATTTTAACTAGTTACTATGTTCAATAGAGAAAAAAATGCTAAAAAGAAGATAAAAAGATGTAAAATTAAACCAGAGTTGGAATATATATATATATATATATATATATAAAGATTTGAATGAAAATTCTAGAACTGAAGAATAATTGAACAAAGAACTTTATAGATAAATTTAACAAAAGATTAGATATAGCAGAAGAGACAATTAGTGAACTGTAAGACAGATCACTAACCAAAATGAAATAAAATGTTATGTCCAATCTTTCATGTAAATTGAACAGAGATTTTTGAAAATTCATATTCCAGAATACATTTTTTTAAATGTCAAGACTATGAAGTGCTAATTGGCTCCATAAAAGGATTACCTAAAATCATTATGTTTTCTCACCTCACTTTTCTCATGAGTATATCTTCCTCTCTCAGTTGGGGATGGGGGGGATTAGGAAGAGTGAAAGGCAGTTAGAATAAATTAGCAACCCAACATTTCTGTCACACATTAAAGACAAATCTTGATAAGCCCAACATGATAATTGTATGCTGGGAGATATGGTTCCAGGTGGGCGAAGTTTAGTCCTGTGAATACCCAGAGAGCCTGAATCAGGTATGGAATCTGTCGGAAGAATGCAGGTAGGTTTTGAGAAAGTACTATCCTAGGCAAACTGGCATGAAACTCACTGTCCAGTGAGCATCACAAGAAATTTTTGCTATAATTATACATGGAAATAGGACATGGTTCCTAGCAGCGTTTGGTCACGAGTCCTCAGGTAATAACATCTGCCATCTCTTATTTTTTCGTCAACCCAGTTAAAAACAACTCCATATCCTACAATGTGGCTTTAAAAGGACTATTTGTTGGAGAAGAGCCTGAAGGTTTTCTGAACTGAGAATATAAAGAAACAGAAATATTCTGGTTTTCAATAACTCTAAGTCAAAGTGATAAGAAAGAAGAGATAATGGATGAACATCCCAATTATAACCATAAGTGTGATAGGCACGGCATATTTTACAGCACTGTCTCCGTTGAAAGCTCAGAATAGGTCGCCCCATTGTGGTTTTCAATAATGAACATCCTGGTAAGTAAAGAAAGGAGCGCAATATCTTGGCGTGTGGGTGATTTCCAGTACCTAGGGGTTACTGAGCAGGTCCCCTGAGACTTCATTCACAAACACGGCCCAGAAAATGACTGACACAGAACAGTTGCTGTTACTTGTAGGCTAAAACGTGGACTAGTTCCAAAGGAAAAGAAAGGCTTTTTTCTCACATCCATCTTTCAAAATAAAGTAACTGAATAGCTTTAAAAATAACAGCAACAAACAATATATCACCAAAAACCAGGTATCAACTGAAACAATAAACTTCTTTACTCTCTCAGTGGGTGGGAGTCAAAACCAACTGTCAGACTCACATATCTGCTTCTTTTCCATTTTTAACTCAAGTTTTCCCTGCAAATGAATCTTGGTATGGTCTGGGCAGAAAAGAGCCAGAAAAAGCAACTGCTGCATACAGATATCAGCCCAAGAACCCCCAGAAGAGTCTACCTCTTCTGACTTCACACTCCTTTTCCTTCAGTCTGTCTTGAGGTCCCATTCCTCTCTAATTAGGTTCCCTTTTTTGCCATAGGAATTTACTCCGCAAAATAAAATATGGGATGAAATATATTCTGGGCTGAATTAAAATCATTAGCCCCTTGAAAAAATCATGCCAAGGAAGGGAAACAAACAGGCATTTAATAGGCACAAAGAGAAGGATAGGGGTTACCTGGGAATCCTGTTCAACTTAAAATGTTTTTCAAATTAGATTATTTAATGAGTTGAAAGTATAGAAGGAACATAGGTTAGAAAATTAATTTGCTTGTTTTCAGTCAAGAATAATGACGGCCAATGAACCAAGTTTTTCAAGGCCGTTATTTTTCATGGGTTTCACTTCAAACTCGTTCTGAAAATCTAATAAAATATAAATTTCAAGTGCTATATTGTTGAGAAGTGTGTCTGAGATACGGAGGGAAAAACGAGTTAGAATGCTGCATCTGTAAGATTCTCTGAAGTTTCCCAGGCTGGGAATATAGGAAAAGGACAAAATAATGAAGAACAAAGATTTTTGAGTCCAAATAAGATCACCATAGAAAGGGTATACTCCAGTCTTATTTTTAATGTCCCTTTAGAGTACATTAACTGCCCTGTTTTGATAAATAATAATAACAATGGTATATAATATACCCTACAGTTTACAAATTTAATGGGGGAAAACTTGGAAGAAGTAATGGGTAAAAATGAAAAACACATTCTCCCATTTCTTCTTTTTTATTTTTTTCTTTTTTCTTAAAGGTGGTCTTTCCCTGTCCAAAGTGTGACCGTAAGTGAAACACCCTCATTTCCCTTTCTGCCTGACCAACGCCAACATATTTCATTTCGGTCACCAACATGCCGTTCATCTGTCATCTTTTGCTAACTACCACAATTTAGTAGGTGTCGGTACTACTGAAGGTAGTGTTTTTCATTAAAAGACACATTCACACTAGTTCTCTACACTTAGTGGAAGCCAGGGCTTGGTAATGAATCTATTATTTAAATTAATAAACAGTTCTGGGACATTGTTTTTAAAACATTAATCTTACTTTAGAATTCAAGTGACACACAGCCTGGCTTGTTTTTCTCAAGAAAAATGTGTTGTTCACTTGACAACATAGTTATTTGCACGTGTCTGCATCCTCAATTCACTAAATTGAAAAAAAAAAAAAGGATAGCAAGAGATGTAAAAATGAAATAGAAAATAACATATTAGGGCCTTTTCTCTTTTCTTTCTTTCTTTCTTTCTTTCTTTTCTTTTCTTTTCTTTTCTTTGTTTGTTTTTGGAACTCACAAAAAAAAAAAACAAAAAAACATGGGCTTGATTAGTTCAAAATTGGGGCAAAGAGACATTGTGTGTAATGTCAGGGAAGTCACATCAGCAAGAGACCTGAGGACATCCCTGAAGGGAACTTTTGTAAGACAAACATGTCTCAAAGACTCTTCAGTGCTTGGAGGTACCGTCCCCACCCCTTCCTGTTTGCATTCCTCAGAGTCAGATTTCAGCTAAGGGAATGGAAATTAAATAAAGGTGCACTGGGGAACACATAATTAGTCCTTAAATCATAGGATCTCAAATTCGTGAAATTTCATCAAAAGTTTAGTAGGAGTCTTAAAAAAATGCCTCTAGGGCAATCTCTCCAAGTTTTCTCCCAAGAATTTAATGTTAAGCATACACAAGTAATTATTATTCGATAATGCTCTTTTGTGCCGAGCTAAGAATTTTCCTTAACAGCCCTTTCCACCTGTGGAATAAAATAATTCACAGAAACACATTCACCCCGACCTGTTCCCACGTGAAGTTTGCTTCAGGTTTTTTCTCAGGACATCCAACCCTTCTCTCAATTGTTTCTTGCAGTTGTTCACATTGGCAAACACATCGCTAAACAGCACTATGTCAACCTCAGAGCATCCTTGAGTGTCCGTCCCCTTGGTGTAAGACCCGCCCTGTGAAGACAAAAGACACCACGTGGGGAAAACCCAAACAAACCCTAAGGGAAGTGCAGAATTCAAGCCATCTTCCTCCACCCTGTACCCCCAGAAAAACACAGGAGAAGAAGAAGGTGATCAGTAATGGTCTACTGAGAATTTAGGTTCTCAGTAAAAGAAAAGAAAAAAGTACTTTTGAAAAAGCCCTGAAAATCTTTATGAACAGCCACAGCTAGAAGTTCTCAGACTCTTCCTGCTTTAGAGGTTGTGAGGAACCCATGGGGCAGGAGTGAACTTCACCACTGTACACCAGAACCCAGCCCAATACTCACACGTAGCAGCCCTTAGCAAACACTGAGAGGGCAACCCCAAATATTGGTGCTGCAACACAAATCGTACCTATAGAAGTCAGAATTACAGTGACTATTTGATGTTTCTGGTTGATGTTAGTTTGTTATGTTTCTAAATCTATCACGAATGATTTTAACACAGGATTATGTCATTATCATTAATGAGAATTTACATCAAAGCTCTTGCTAAATGTAATTTTATAAAAGTTAAAACTTTAAGTAATTAACAGCACATATTCCTTTCTTTAGCACTTAAGGAAAACTAACTCTACATGGCAAGTTCCCAAAGGAGCTTCCTTAGCAGTACAAGGAATCGCTATCTATGATTCGAGAACCATCATATCCCATAAGGAAAAGGCAAAACCAATCGTCGAAGGTAGAGTGTGACCCATAAAATGACAATGCAATTTCGTATGAAGTAGGAAACATTTTGAAACTCTGAACTCATTGTCATTTATTGTAAATTAATCCCTTAAGGATTTCCAACAGCCCCTTCGGTCAGGTGCTGAGAGCTGAAGTAAACAAGAAGGCACCATTTTGAAATCTTGGCATCTCCCTGGCCTGCCCCAGGAGGACACTGAGCTCTTCACAGAGGCATGACAGCATGCACAGAGTACGGACAGGTAGAGAGGAGAGCTTGTGGGTCATGAGGAAGGTATACTATTAGAGAAAATAGGGGGACAAATACCACCTACTAACAAGAGCTGTTGTAGGTCAAGGGCAAAGGGTGTGGATATATCTCCCAACTCGTAGGACCATGATAGACACTTTAGAGCAGCATTTCCAAGAGTGAGAACCACAACGTACCAGTAAGGGGTCAGTTGAAGGTAAGAGACACCATTCTAGTTACTTTAAGCAGAAAAGGATGTAATTCAGGGAATCATTGGAATAGCTAGACGAATAGGCTCCAGGCTGGGCTTTGAGGACTGACTTTCAGAATAACACTGCAGAACTGGACTGCTAAGGAAACTGTTGTCCCAGTTTCAGTCAGAGAGCTGGAATCTGAAAGCTGCCATGGCAACTGCTGGCTCTAGGATTGAACTGCCCTAGTTGAGATCTAGGAATCAAGACGCTGCCTCTAGGTGGGGCGCAGTGGTTCACGCCTGTAATCCTAGTACTCTGGGTAGGCCAAGGTAGGAGGATCACTTGAGGTCAAGAGTTCGAGCCTGTCCTGAGTAACAGGGAGACCCTCTCTCTACTAAAAATAGAAAAAATTAGCCGGGCGTGGTGGCACACGTCTATAGTCCCAGCTACTCAGGATGCCGAGGCAGGAGGATTGGTTGAGCCCAGGAGTTTGAGGTTGTTGTGGGCTGTGATGATGCCACTGTACTCTGGCCTGGGTGACAGAGCACGACTCTGTCTCAAACAAAACAAAACAAAACAAAAAAGTTGTCTCTGCAACTGTGGGTCCTAGAAACATCCCATCCAGGGAATAGAAGTTATGGCCACAACTCTTGGCTCCAAAGTCATTCTGTATCTGTTATATCTGCACTAGCTAGAATGGTGCCTGAGGCCCCACCGCCTCTCAGTTTTGGGCTCAAATCTTGCACTAGCGCAACTAATTGATGAAACCTAAATCCCATTAGAAATCATAGCCGCACAGGAACATGGGAAATGTAGGGGTTTTTAGTTTCCTTAACCTGAGAGCTCTTAATATGCTAATGTGTGCTATCAATCTCCAGGAATGGAATAAAGGGTACAGCAATTCCTGAACTTAATTGATTATCGGTCCCTGTTTTCAGTGAGCATCTTGCAGGACTGGAACCAGAGCTCTAGCTCCAAATTCCTAGCTGTGCACCCTAAATACCTTATCTCTGTAGCATAAAATATGGAGCTTAATATTCAGGCTTTCGCCACAGCTATCTTGCTAGAATTCAACCATACATATTTAACACTGAGTTACATTAAAAGATAATTTTTACTTTTCAATAAAGGTTTAAATATGTCTTTAAAACAATTATGTTTTTGTTTTGTTTTGTTTTTTTGAGACAGGGTCTTGCTCTGTCGCCCAGGCTGGAGTGTTGTGGCACGATCATCGTTCACTGCAACCTCAAACTCCTGGGCCAAGCAATCGTCCGGCCTCAGCCTCCCAAAGTGCTGGGATTACAGGTGTGAGTCACCATGCCCAGTTATGCATGCATTTTTGAAAAAAATATCAGAATAAAATGCCCTCAGAAATATGCCCTGCATTTTTTTTCTAAACACATACTAGATAATATGCACCGATGGTATTAACATTAAAAATAATAATATTTTTAATGTTATTAAAGAGAAGCCGCACCGTCATTCTTGTTTGAATCCCTTCCCTGTGTGCACGCCATTTTCTTCCCTCAAGGAAGTTTTCACAGCGAGGCTCTGCACTCTGTGAACAGCCACTCCTGGACACAGTGAAGTGTCGTTCAGTTGACAGGGAGCCCATCAGCGCAGCACCTAATTACTTCCACAGGCGGGTCGCTCCAGCATGAAATGGGGCCCCAAGGGGTGGTGGTGGGGGGGAGGCTCACCTCCTTTGCCTCGAACTCCCTTAAGCATCCCTTTACAAATATCGGTCAAGTGTGAGCCAAGTCCTTGGCCCTGCCAATGTAAAGGCACTTTCGTCCCTTGGGCAAAAACTGCCAAGCGTAATGGGTTCCAGCTGTTGCACGCTTGAGTGCCTGCTCAGCCGGTCTGCAGCCTGGCCTGGCGTTTCAAAGGGCTCCTACCAGGCCTGTGTCACCCCCATGCAGAAGGTGACGCTGGGTTTGAACATGTGGGCCTGCCCTGTGGATGTGTGCAACCTCCAAGGGAAAGGAAACGGCCTCCTTCCGGCTGCTGCGTGGCCTGGCCGGAGAGCTGGGGAGCTCAGATTACCTGGATCACTCGGGAGGCCGGCGCCGGAAAGCAGCCCTGGATCAGCTCGGTGAAGGCGCCAATCTCAGCAACACAAGCAGCACTCAGAGGACCCGAGGCAGGGCGAATATTTTCGTCTGCAAATCTCTCTAGCTCTTGGGGACTTTTACACTCCAGCATATTATGAGGTGAAAATCCTGTGGACATTTGGGCTACACAGAGAAATGATCAGTATTTGGTATTCACTCCACAGAAATAGATGTGCGTGTGAAGTGGGGTGGAGGTGGAGGGAAGGCAAGAATCTAATCCTGTGTGCAAATTATGTCTTGTTTGCCACTGAAATGGCCTTCGTCGCTGCCTACCAGTGAGGCATCAGTTGAACCAGCAAACTTCGTTCCCTCCATATATAGCTGACATTTTAACCCTAGATCTCTCTAGAGTAATGGCTAAATTGCTCATAAAACCGAGCTATTCAGACATTTTTATGCCACACAAAAAAAGTCTTTGCCCCAATTTACTAAATTGTTTTAAGTTTCTATATCAAACACATGTAAGTTAACAAGTTTCAATTAAATGATAACAGAGAATTCCAAAGTAAGCCATCTAGTCTCAGAGGCTCAAACTGTCAGCCCAGAGGCCATATTCTACCTGCAGAAGTTAGGTTTGGCCTACACAGTGCTTTCAAAAAGAAAAAACTGAGCCAACATTTAGAAATCCAGAGATCCTATATATATATTTTTTAAATGAGGCTATCAGAGGTGTTTGCTTTAAGCCAGAAGATCTGACAAGACCAAGTGCACCCTTCACAGGAGGGAACTGGATTCTGGAATTGCTACTGCCTGTTGGGGGAGGGGAAGGTGGCACCAGGACCCCAGGCTCCTCCAAGCCCTGTGACTCCCACCCTGAGGCTGAACAGCCTCTGGCATTTATCCTGTTGCTCAAGCTGGGGTTTTTCACAATGTTGAATTGTTTCCCTGCACCCATTTCTCTGCCATAGAGAAGAAAGAAAAATGGGAAAGATCATATTCTCTTTCTTAGGCCAGGCCTGATTCACTCATTTAAGATATCTGCCTGGCCCTGTCCAGAGTTTGTCACCCCGAAAGACTAAAAACATTCTTTTTTTTTTTTGAGACAGTCTCACTCTGTTGCCTGGTCTAGAGTGCTGTGGCATCAGCCTAGCTCACAGCAACCTCAAACTCCTGGGCTCAAGCAATCCTTCTGCCTCAGTCTCCAGAGTAGCTGGGACTACAGGCATGCACCACCATGCCCGGCTAATTTTTTCTATATATAGATAGTCGGCCAATTAATTTCTTTCTATTTTTAGTAGAGATGGGGTCTCGTTCTTGCTCAGGCTGGTTTCGAACTCCTGACCTTGAGCGATCCGCATGCCTCTGCCTCCGCGTGAGCCATTACAGGCGTGAGCCACCGCGCCTGGCCAAAAACATTCTTTTAAGGGAAAAGCCACAAGGACTTGCTCAGATCCAGGGCCAGGCATGGGCACCGCTGTAAGGAGGTGAGTGTGTCTCACCATAGGACCTACCACCTGTCCCCACCCTCACCTCTGCCTGTGTCGCCACCCCAGCCCCCCAGGGAGGATCTCAGCTATGTGTGGAGAGGCGGTGGTTCAGGCTCTAGATCAGCATTTTTCAGGGACCACAAAGAATCATAAAAGATTTAATCGGCCGCAATCCATTTTTTTAATAAAGAAAAGGAATATAATAGAAAAATGCCAAAATTCATCAGGCACAGTAACAATATTAAGACGCTGTGAATTTGTTGTTTCACATGCACACGTGTGTACTGTGTGGCTGTATTAAAAATGTCTCCTGTGGGTCACAGACAAAAAGTGAGTAACCCTGCTCAAGACCAGTGGTCCCAGATCCTGGGGGCCTGTGACACCTTGGTTTCTGGGAAGGTCGTGAATCTGAGAACCTGGCAGCCTTTCTAAATGCTTTATAAGAATTTTATGGATGAGACACGCTCAACAAACATCCACAGGAAAACAACAAAACTAGATGAATACTTTTGAGAGATCTTTTAAATTCATTTGAGCTACAAGAAAGTAAAGGAAGTCCCCAGAAGCTGAGCACCAGGTGAAAGCAGGACATGAAGAGACGGTAAGGGCACCGGCTGCCTCTGTGTTTGCAACCCCAGGTCTCCTAACTCCGTCTGTCAGCCACTCAGGCCTCAGGCCACCCACACCCAGGGGCTCGAGGGAGATGCCCACCTAAAGCCAAGGCCTCAAAGGCCAAATGGTCAGTGAAAGGATGAATGAAGGAGCCCAAAGAGGGATGACAGCAAAGAAACTCCATAACCTTCGCACTGGGTCGATTGAAAAAAGAATAATCCCTGGTGATCTGAAATGACAAAGTGAGGACGGGCGCGGTGGCTCACGCCTATAATCCTAGCTCTCTGGGAGGCCGAGGCAGGCGGATTGCTCAAGGTCAGGAGTTCGAAACCAGCCTGAGCAAGAGCAAGACCCCGTCTCTACTATAAATACAAAGAAATTAATTGGGCAACTAATATATACAGAAAAAATTAGCCGGGCATGGTGACACATGCCTGTAGTCCCAGCTACTTGGGAGGCTGAGGCAGGAGGATCGCTTGAGCCCAGGAGTTTGAGGTTGCTGTGAGCTAGGCTGATGCCACGGCACTCACTCTAGCCTGGACAACAAAGCGAGACTCTGTCTCAAAAAAAAAAAAAAGAAATGACAAAGTGGCCCTCATTTGGGTTTATAGAACAAATTCATATTATCATTGAGAATTAATTTTAGAGTAGCCTCAGGCTAGTAAAGGGGCCAAGTGCCTTGCAGAAGAAAATGCTAATCCTCTCTGGGAATGAGCTTTTATCTGGATCTCACCCATGGAACATTTACAAAACTTGAATATATATTTAGCTGTAGATAAAACTCAACAAGTTACTTCCTGTTCCTTAGTTCAAAATGAAAGAAAAAAAAAACCTCAACAAGTGTCAGAGGATGACTATCACACAGATTAAATTCTCTGACTACCATGTAATTAAATGACAAATCAGTAACAAAATAACTAAAAATATCTCATATTTTCGAAATTAAATTAAACCACATACTTTCAGATAACTCTTGGGTCAAAGAAGAAATCATAACGGAAATCAACATACTTAGACTTCACAGTAACAAGAAACTGTATATCAAAACTTAGGAGATGCACAGCCCCTTGTTTAATTTCATCAATTATGCTAAATTAACAGATTTGGGGTGTTTTTTAATCCTTTTTGATTCTTTTGCTTGAGACATGATAACTAATTGGTATATTACTCTTTTTAGGGACAATTTAACTGAAGTGGAATTAATCCTTTGTCAGTGACATCATTTTTATTTACAATCAATTATGTATCCCTGAAAACAATTTTAATTTATCGACAGACTTTCCTAAATGGTCAACCACCAGTTAGTTTAGAGAGGATAAACTTGAGAGCAAAGGACAATCAATATGGGAGCAAAAGGTACAATATTAACATCTTAGTTTTCTGGTTATTTTTGACATGGGCAGGCCTTAAAAATATAGCTTACTTCTCTATCTTCCGTGGTACTATATTTTGTTGTACTATAAATGTATTGCTCCTGGCTCAGGATCATCTATTTCACCCAGACCAAATTAATATGAACAAGCCAGGGCAAAGGAGTTTGGCACACAGAAACTGGGGATGGGAAGATGGGATTAAGAATAGAATTCTTACTAATGAATAAATTACACTCTAAACATATCATAACTAACTCTTTTAAAGTAGAAGTTGCAAGGGATGGAATGTATGATATAATTAAAGGATTCCTGCCAGGGAAATCTGGAAGCCACTGTTCTGGACTCTTCTTTCTTGCTCCTAATTAAAAAAAAAATTATGCCTCAGAGATCTGCTTTTAAAATAATAATGAACTAATAAGATAAGGCAATTTGTAGTATTCATAATTCACAAAAGTATTCTTCCTGGTTAAATATGTTTATATGCGTTTGTAAATATTACCTTAAGGAGTCAATGCCTTCATCTAAAGGAGTGTCTGCAAGGGCAGGAACCTCAGGACTTGTCAAAAATATTTGGGGACAGTTATGAACCAAAGGTTGCCTATGGAGCCTTCTTCAGAAAGGCTGGTGTAGTCTCCTCCTTGGCCTGCCCAGCTGACTCCCAACTGAAGTCATTTATGTCAACCTTTCGAAGAGTGTCTTAAGTATATGTATGTGCAAATTATCTGCAAAATCCTTAAGCAGCCCAATAAATAATGACAACTACGTACTTAGGCCAAATCTACTATTTCACAATCCTTTTTTCAGATTTCTGTCCCAGAGTCCAGGCTCAATTTCAATCTTACCTATTTTTCCTCCTATCTCTGCCTTCTCCCAAATTCTCAGATGTGGGTGCCCACACTCCTATTCCTCCTACCAGCCTTGTTAGCTTCTCCAGCCCACTCCAAGTCCTGAGGCAATCAGCCTCAAACATATGGTGACAGAATTCTCTCCAAATTCAAGCAGTCCTTGCATGATTTGAGGAATTTATGAAAATCCAAACCCAGAGTCTTCTTTACCCAACACATTAAGGCCTGGAGTCCCCCAGGCCCGTCTCAGAATAGATGCTCTTCCTACCTTACTGTACTTTCCAACTTGGCCAGGTCGTGGTTTGGTTTCTGCCATACCAACTTGTGTTCTGCCTTCAGTTTCTGCCATACCAAGTTGGCTTCTGCCATAAGATCTGCCCCTAAGTGTCACCCAGTCTCCCCCCATGACCAAGCCTACCTGCATTTCTGTCTTGCTCCCTCCTTTTCTTTGGGACTGGAGTCCTGCCTGCAACCTCCTCCAGTACCTGAGGTTAGGATATGAATAACTGGGTCTCCTGAATATGAGTGGCCCACCCACCTGATTTTCACCTGGATTCACTCTCACTTCCGACTGGAAGTCCCTAGAATTGTGCTTCTGATGGGGTTGTCTCTTGAACAATGCCTCAGTTTCCCAACTTCCTCCTTAAATGTGGCCCTGCAGGATTATCCTCCACTCCTTTCATCCCAAGTCTTGAGTCACATCCTGGTACCATCATCTTCTTTTTCTATTTCCTGTTCCTAGAAACAACCCATAATGCCTTGCACTAAAGGAAAACCAAAATACAGTTTCTACGTCGTAAGAACATCCACAAAAGGAAAGCTCCAGGCATTTGTTTTACCTCTTTTATTGGCTATGAAGTGATGCTCTTGTATTTCAGGAATCTCCTGACTGTGGACTGTTCCAAAGTACTCAGAACACATCCTGTGAGTTTTTGATATTTTTGTAGCCACATGTTTTATACTCCTGTCTTCTAGATTTTCCCAGTTTAGGTTGTGTGTCTCCACGATTGACCTGTCATGCACAGACTGAGAAAAAGTATATACTTAACAAGGACTTAAAAGTGCTATTTGAAAGATCTGCTGGTCTGCATTTGGCTTCTCACTAAATGCTCCCATTCATGGACACAGTAAATGTTCAATTCATCCTATGAAGTTCTCAAACATAGCAAAGTCATTAGTTCTTCTGTTATAGATGAAAAACCACTCTAAATTAATAAAACAATAAACCATAAGAAACACAATCAGTGCTGAAAAAAAGATATAACTTTAAAAAGCACTGGATTTTGTTTAATAAAATCAGACGAATGAGATCCTAGTTCTTTCTCTGATGCTGTTGCTTTTTGCATGACCTTGGGCAAATCATTTAACCTGAATTTTTCTTCCCTCTTGTAAAATGGGGAGAAAGAAGGAGGGCAGTACATTACCTCTAAGGTCACTTTGGAAACAATAAATGCTGGGATTATGAGAATCCTATCACTATACAAAGCACTTTGGAATCACAGTGGCAATATCTGCAGCTGCCCTGGGTGTAACACTCAGGCCCGGGGCATTGAGCTAAGTGTCCTTCACTGTAGCCCACGAGATGGGCACCGTTCAGCCAAGGAGAATGAGACACCCGCATTAACCACTGCTCCTCACCACTTCATCTATGGTCACGGGTTTTGTTTTATTTAATTGTTAGTTTTCTATTAAGAGAGCTGCATGAAATGAATGAAAAACCAAAACCAGCAAACACAAGGCATGAGTGTTTTAGAACATGAGTGCCTTAGAAAGTGGAGAGGAGTCAAAAGTTTCACCCCCTTTCACCCACTTGTACCTTACTGTGGTCTTCAAGCTTTTCCCTCAGGACTTCCTGGCCACATTCTTCACAGTGAACTTTTCCAAGATGCTTTAGTCGAAGGTGATACTTCAGAGCCGTGTGGCTGACAAAGTCACTACCACAGTGTTCACAGTTATAGAATTTAAGAGCCCACATTCTTGCCCAGCGAAGTAGTAGTGGAGTTAGATCCTACTGATGACAAAAACAAAAAGCACAAGCCCTTCGAAGAAAATCTAGTTTCTCACAGTGAAGCAAAATAAAGACATCGTTTCTAGTGTGCTAATTATGCTCTGTCACATGAGTGTTTCCTAAGAAATTTATCCCTCACTAAAATCAAATACAGCATCATGAAAACATCCATTTAGACCCACTGCTTATAACTTGGGTCTATAAATGTTAGCGAGGTTAGTAAAAAAAAAATGCAAAACTGTGTAAGTACATATGTACATTTTTTCTAAGAGTTTCAAATGGATCCATAACCCAAGAGATGTTACTAATAAAAATTGCTGATTTAGATATTACCTCTATTCAGGAGACTCTCTGAGAGCCATTGTTTCTCCTATTTTTACCATCCAGTGAATTCCCATATTTGGGAAAATTATCATGAGTGATGATTTTGATCTTTTCAAACACTCCGAATTTTTTTAAAAAGAAAGAAAAAGCAGAAATATATACCAAAAGACTGAACAAGAAGAGGACGTTGGTGATTCCAATCTTGAGCTGACTGCTTCCAAAACTGTTTATTTTTTTGTTGCCAAGCAACTCTGCTTGCATTTGTAATAACTTGTCTGAAGCTTAGAGCTCCTTCCTCAGAGTGAAGAATTATGGGATTTGTAGTTACCAGTTTTGTACCAAGATCCAACTTTTTTAAATGAACTAACAAATAAACTGTATGCATATATTTTACATTTGCTGCTGTAACAAATTACTACAAAATTTTAGTGGCTTAAACACACAAAATCATTATCTTATTGTTCTGTAGGCCAAAGTCTGACATGAATCTCGCTGGACTAGAATTAGGTCATTGTGCTACATTCCCTTCTGCAAGTACCAGGTACGATCCACTCCCTTGCTTTTCTTCTAGAGGCTGCCACCTTCCTTGGCTGGTGACCTTCTCCCTGCATCCTCCAAGCTGGCAAAGGCAAGTGGAGTCCTGCTCACTTGCATCACTCTGATCTCCTCTACTTCCATCTTCCTTTTTCAAGGGCCCTTATGACCCATTGGGCCCAACTAGATAATCCAAAGTAATCTCCCTATTTTAAGATGAGCTGATTAACAATCTTAATTTCACCTGCAAACTTACTTCTCCTTTGCCATATCAGATAATAAATTTGTAAATTCCAGGGATTAGGATGTGGATGTCTTTGGGGGGTCATGATTTTGCCCACCACACTGTAGTTCTAAACTTCAATCAGGAATAGAAATGAATCCAAAATATATCTATGTACAATGGAAGAGGGGAAAATGTTTCTACTCCCTGCAAACACTTCTGTACTTAATTCATTTTGGAGTCTTTGCCAAACAAATTTAGAACCACTGGATGATCTGTTACTGAAGACATGGCTCTTTGCACTGACGTGTGGTGCAGAGTTTTCCAACTATGAGTCCTCATCATATTAGGAAGATGTGAAATCAAGTTAGTGGGTTGCAACCAACATTTTTAAAAAAATTCAAATAGGACAAAACTAGAGAATATTGAACATAATGAAGATAAATAATAATTTGTGCAACATTTGTTACAGCTAAACATATTTATGTGTGTACTGGATTGCTAGGTAAAATGCACTTTAAAAAAATCTGGATTATACTAATTAGTTCTTTGCATGTCTTCACATTGGTCAGCACGAGTTCTTTCCCTTATTTTACTTCCTTCACTTCCATTCACCTCCTGTACCCTAGAGACAGCCATTATAATATGTTTAACGTGTTGTCTTTTTTGTTATATGTGCATTCTTACAAAATGTATCTTACTTTGGGGGAATTTTTTATAATTTACATAAAATGACACAAATTAAAAGGACACTATCTATGTATCTGGTCCATTCCTTTTAATTGCTGCAGAGTGGTGGTATCTACCACATTTGCTGTATGCTTTTCTTTGCGTCAAGATTAAAAGTGTTTGAAAGCCATTGGTCCAGTGGACATATCCAGAATTCATTGGAGAACCCTTAGAACAGCACTGGAACTTTCCTCATTCCCAGCATAGGTCTAAAAGTGGCTGCTTAATCCTCCTGTTACCAGCCATTAATATCCATGGATGCCACTCTTCCCAAACTGGACCCCACAGGGAGATACAGGTTGACATAGGCCATAAACAAGGGAGTCCTTTACGCGCTGATTCAAAGTGTTGTAGAATTTTTAAGCTGAAGCACCCTCCTTCTGCCCTCTTTCCCATCCCTTCCATCATTTTAACAGGCAAGTATTTTAGGGATGGGTTGGTTTCATTAAATAAAAAATGGAATTTGTTGGCAGAGTTTCAGGTGTCTTAGAAAATCTAAGACTGAGAAGTATACGTAGGCCTCAATGCTATCCCTGTCCCTACGTAATCGCCTGGCACAAGATGAATGCTCAGTAAGCTTTGGTCCAATAGAGGGATGAATGGGTGGGTAGATTAAGGAACAGAAAATCATCAGGAATCAAGGTAGGTGCTCTCACTGACTCCAGGTTTGGCTCCATAATCTCACACCTCTGCTTACATGTGTCTGCTTCCCTTGTCTATTTCTGCATGGATGAATGTGGCTGCTCCACAATGGCGCCCTCGGAGGATGACTGACCACCCAGTTTGCCTGGGACTGAGGGCGTTCCCAGGATACAGGACTTTCAGTGCTAAAACCAGGAAAGTCTCAGGCAAACCAGCATTGCCTGAGAGGGCACCTTACAAATCAGCTTTCTAAATCCGACCCCTATCACCCCTTTGAATTAATGCATTGACTCCATCCATGACCAAATGTCATGAAGTTTGGAGAGCTTGATTGCTTCAGCCCAAACTGTGATTTGCTTCCGCTAACCAGGTTTTCATGCCTGGTTCAGTCAACCTTGATTGAGATACAGTGAAGGGGACAAGCAGGCACATACCCCATCCACAATGCCATGTACCAAGTTTTGTATGTACCAAGGGGTGTTGAGGCAATGTTGGGCACTTGTAGTTCACAGCAATGACCTAGCACATCATTCAGAGGTTTCCAGCAAAAGTGTTGTGTCCAGGATCAGGAGGCAAAGAAATGAGGAGAATAATGGGATCGTTAGGTTTTCTAGATGAGATCTCTCTCCTCCCTTCCCTTCTTCCACCTCCTTTTGTCTCTCTCCATGATTGATCCACTTTTCTATTGTATTTGATGACAACATATAAGAAGTATTTGTATTCTTCTAACGCAGCAGTAGTCCCTGGATCCCTGCAGGTATTCAAGACTCTTTCAGGGGACCCTGGACTCAACATTATTTTCCTAGCAATATTAAGATACTATTTGTCTTCTGAGAATGTCACTGGGTTGACATTGGCACTGATAGTGTAAAAGTAATGGTGGGTAAAACTGCTAGTGCTATGGCATGAATTAAGACAGTGGCTACAAATTCTACTAGTAGTCATTTCATTCTTCATCAATATCTGGTAGCAGTGAAAAACCAACAAATGGATGTGGATATATGGTAACTCTCTACATTATCTTTATGATTTTTCTATATATCTAAAACCATTTTTAAAAATAAAGTTTATTCAAAACAAACAAAATATCAGTTTCACCGAAGAATGTCTTTGAGGGCATAGTAAACACTATCAATCTTATCAAATCTCCACCCTTGAGCACTTGCCTTGTTAATATTCTGCATGATGAAATGGAAAGTACTCATAAATCAGTTATGTTCCTTCCTGAAGTAGATAGTTATCTCAAGGCAAAGCACTTGTGTAATTAAGATGTGAGCTGAATGAGCCATGTTGTCATGAAACACCAGTTCTACTTGGAAGAACACTGACAAACTATGGTTTCTTGGTCAGATGTCAGTATTTAGTAAACATTTTCTCAAAAATGAATGAAACAATAGACACATAAAAAGCATATTTTAGGGAAATGCAAATTAAGATACCAAAATGTAATAGCCAAAACCTAGAAATAAATAAAATGTCTTAGGCGAATGGTTAAACAAACTGTGGAACATCCACACCATGAAATACTCTCCAGCAATAAAAAGGAACAAACTATTGAAACATGCAACAACTTGAATGGATCTCAAAGGCATTATAGCGAATAAAAAAGCCAAACTCAAAAGGGTGCCTACTTCATGATTGCATTTACATAACATCCTATGAATAAAAAAATTATATAGATGGAAAAAGAGATCAGTGTTTACCAGGGGTCAGGATGGTGAGGAGAGAGGGATGGGTGTAATGACAAAGGAATAACACAAGAGAGATTTTTTGTAGTTATGGAAAAGTTCTGTATCTTGATTATGACTATGGTTACATAAATCTACATATGTGATAAAAAGACACAGAACTATATACACACCTTGTATCATTGTCAGTTTCTTTGTTTTGATATTGTACTATAATTATGTATAATGTAGCCATTGGGGGAAACTGGGTGAAGGGTACACCAGATCTCTCTGTACTATATTTGCAACTTGCTATAACACTATAATGATATCAAAACAAAAAGCTAAAATAAATAAATTGTAAGAGGTTAAAATACAAATGAAGTGAGCCTGTTACTTTGTAAACAAAAAACTTCACTAAGGACAATATTTGTTGCCAATGATAAAATTTGAACTTTCAAAAGAAAATTAGTATTTTTGGAAACCTTTTATCAATCACTGTAAGTGTGACAACTTCCCAATACCTACAGACTTTTTTTTTTTTTGATGAGATGGGTGGTGATTCTAGCAAAAATGATTTTGATAGTGTATAATGGCATGTATCACCATTTGGAGGATCTGTATCACTCTGAACTAAAGTTTTCCAAATGACCACTTCATGATGTCTCAAAATCATTCATGGGTAACAGATTCATTCAAAGTACATTTTAAACTAATAGAGTATAAAAAGTCCATTGATGTGGTTTAAGATTCCATATTACAACTAGCCTTTCAGAAATTACCACCTAATGAGTTTTGGAGATCCAAAAGGAATATCCACAATTATCTGAAAAGGCTATTAGAATGCTCCTCCCTTATCCAACTACATGTTTATGTAAAGCTGGATTTTTTTCATATACTTCAACCAAAAAACCATATTACAACAGACTGAATCTGAGAATCCAGCTGTCTTCTATTAGGTCAGACACTAAAAGAGATTTGCAAAAATGTAAAACAATGGGTTTTTTCTTCCTAATTTTTTTTGGAAAGTGTAATTTTTGTTAATATTTAATGGGTTTATTTTGTGATAAAATAAGTTAGTAATTTAATATATTTTTAAGTTCTCAGTTTTAATTGCAAATAGAGTTAATATTGGTAGCTCTAACCTACATAACTAAAATCTTATTGGTGCCATCAATAATTTCAAGAGTTATTATAAAGGGTTCCTGGGAACAAAAAGCTTGAGAACACTATTCTAATGTAGTTACATTTTGTTTAATTTATTTCTTACTCAGTTATAATTCAAATACCATAAAATTCATCACTTTAAATTGCAAAATTCAATGGTTTTTAGTTTATTCATAAGGTTGTACAATCATCACTTGTATCCAATTTCAGCATATTTTCATCACCCCAAAAAGAAACCCCATACCTTTTAGAAGTCACTCTACATATTCCTCCTCCCACCCTCTGGTAATTGCAAATCTATGCTTTGTTTCTATGGATTTACATGTTTTGAACATTTCACATAAATTTAATCAGAACATGTGGCTTTTTGTGTCTACTTTCTTTTACTTAGCATAATGTTTTCAATACTCATCCATGTTATAGCATGTATCAGTACTTTATTCCTTTTTATGGCTGAATAATATTCTATTGTATGGATGTACAACATTTTTTAATGCATGTAGTTGGTGGACATTCGGGTAGTTTCCACTTTTTGACTATTATAAATAATACTACTATAAGCATTCATGCATTCATGTACATATTTTTATATCAACAAAAGTTATAAATTCTTGGATATATACTCACAAATGAAATTTCTGGGTCCTATGGTAACTCTTATGTTTCACCTATCAAGGAACTGTGACACTTTTCTCCACATTGTAGGTGACAAGTTGCTTCTCTCTTGTGACTTTCAAGATTCCCTATTTTGTGATTTTGACAGTTTGCTCATACTGTGTCTAGGTGTGGATCTCTTTGAATTTATTTTATTTGGAATTCATGAAGTTTCTTGGATGTGTAGATTAATGTGTTTCATCAAATTTGGAAGTTTTTAGGCATTATTTCTTTCAAAATTATTTCTATCCTCTTTCTCACGTCTCATTTTGGGCCTCCCATTATGTATGTGTTTGGTATGTTTGATAATGTCCTACCCGTCTCTGAGAGGCTCTGGTTTTTTTCTTCATTCTTTTTTCTTTGTTTTCCTCAGATCAGATAATATCAATTGACCTATTTTTGAATTCATGAATTCTTTTTTTTTTTTTTTTGAGACAGTTTCCCTCTGTTGCCCAAGCTAGAGTGCTGTGGCATCAGCCTACTTCACAGCAACCTCAAACTCTGGGCTGAAGCGATCCTCCTGCCTCAGCCTCCTGAGTAGCTGGACTACAGGCATTTGCCACCATGCACGGCTAATTTTTTCTATATATTTTTAGTTGGCCAATTAATTTCTTTCTATTTTTAGTAGAGACAGGGGTCTCGCTCTTGCTCAGGCTGGTCTCGAACTCCTGAGCTCAAAGGATCCATCTGCCTTGGCTTCCCAGAGTGCTAGCAGCATAGGCATGAGCCACCGAACCCGGTAGTGAATTCATGAATTCTTTCTTCTGCCCGCCCAGATCTGCTGTTGAGCCCCCTCTAGTGAAATTTTAATTTCAGTTATTGTACTTTTCAACTCCAGAGTTTCTATTTGGTTCCTTTTTATGATTTCTTTACTGATATTCCCTATTTGGTTAGACATCATTCTCATATTTTCCTTTAGTTCTTTAGACACTGTTTCCCTTAGTTTTTTGACTACTTTAAAAATAGTTGATTCAGGCTTTGTCTAGTGAATCCAACATGTGGGTTTCTTAAGGGACAGTTTCTATAAATTGGGTTTTTTTCCTATAGCTCGTACCTTCCTATTTATTTGCATGTCTAATTTTTGTTGTTGAAAATCGCACCATTGTCTCAAGCAGCCATGATGTCAAAACATTTGACACACACCGTTTCTTCTCCTTCAGAGGCTTTCAGCACTGAGCGAGTTCAAGTGAGGTCACTCCCTTGACCAAACAGGTCAGATAATGACGATTCTTTGGAAAGGAGGTTCGTTCTGTTCCCTCCAGTACCCGGAATGCAGGCTGTTATTTTCCTAGGCTGATGCTGAGCAGGAAGTGGGTCTAGGGTAAGTTAAAATGCTACAAAGCTCATTGTTCTTACTGAGATTTCCCCTGTTTTTCTTAACTAAACACTCCCTGGGGTTCTGTAAGTCTTTGGTTAATTTCCAGATTTCTGAAGAAATTGGTTCTCACAATTTTTGCAAGTTTTTTCCTTGCTTTTTTATGAAGGAATGAACTTTCAGAGGTCCTTACTGTGCCATTTTCACTGACATTACTCTGTAAGTACATTTTGATTATTTCCTATAGTAAAACTTGGAAGATGATAAATTTTGTTTTTATTCATCATGGGCTTTCTTTCCTTTTTCTTAAATTATGAAAGCAGCACATATTAGCTATAAAATGTTCAAATAATATAAAATATCTAAAACCTTAGTCCCTCCTTGTTTTGTGTACCTCCTTCACCCTCCGCTTCAATGCTTCCTTCATCCTACTGCTTCTAGGAAATTATTGAGCACCTACTATATGTAGTTCAAGGGGGGCACATCATCGATTTAGTACCTTGTTTATGTTAATTGAGTTCTTCTAGTGTTTGCATACCTGAGAACATTCCCTCCCCCCACACACACACAGGTGAGTAAACTAGATTACAGCTTCTGTAATGGCCATAGAAGATGTTCAAATGCAAGGCCTTGTGGAGCAAAGCAAATACCACCAAACAAAAGTTTCTTCTAAGTAAGAAGTGAGTTTTACCACTAGTTGCAGTGACAAAAGCAGGGTAACAATTCGAGAAGCAGGGGCAACTTTGCCATCGTTGCATGCCTTTTGTGTTGTACTCAGAATGTGCCCTGGCTGTCTGAGCAGTCCTGGTTATTAAAGAGCAAAGTAGATCTTTGCTAATGGCCTGAACTGACTGAGGAAGGGTCTACACCACATGTATTACCTGATTAAACTTCTTAAACATCTCTTTTAAATATTATTTTCCTCCTGACTTCATCCAGTAGCTGCTTAAATATCTGTCCCTAATCTTTCCCTCTCTCTTCCCAGGGGTACCCATACCTTCACACAAAAGTATCTGTCTATCCATTCCCTTGATCCACCTGCTTTCTTCCACCCCAGTCCCCGCCCTTGGCTGGCCTGCAGAAAGCAGCAAGGGAGGGGCCCCACTTGCCCCAGGGATGCTGCTTCTCTCCCAGAAGGGTCTGCACAGTGGGCCATTGGTACGCATGGAGCATCCTCAAGCTCGGCCTTCTAAGCTATGAAGCTCCCGTCTCAAAAGTCATCACCCTGAACAAACGCCTGTGGAGACAGGAGCTGCAAAAATCACACGGGTAACGTTTGCCAAAGTGCCTTCTCCCACAAAGTCCAGTAATACTCTCGAACGTCCATCCTTCTTACTAGGTTAATCTGGTCTGAATTGCACATTCTGTTTTTCTGCCAATTACTTGGAGAACTGTTCCAGGAACAGGTGAAAGAGGAAATGTTCTTGGAACCAGCTGTGGGCTGAGGAGGCTGAGCTGCAGTTCTCGTCTGCGTATTTGGGGTAACTTGGAACTATTTTTCACAGTAAACTAACAGCACGTGTGCCAGCCTTGCTACGGGTTGGGCAGGCTCACGGGCTAAC